AGGAAAAAAAAAAAAAAAAAAAAAAAAAAAAAAAAAAAGAAAAAAAAAAAGAAAAGGAAAAATGGCTACTGACATGATGGATGCGCATATAGGCCAAAGAACGCAAGGGGACCTACTTCTTCACCGAAATCCGAGCGGGCCTCGCCACTTTCTTCGCCATGGCCTACATCATCAGTGTCAACTCCAACATCCTCTCGCAGTCGGGCGGAACGTGTGTGTGCGACTATGCCAACTCTGCCGATGGAGTCTGCGATACCGACCCGGCGTATATGCTCTGTGTGCAGGAGATTAACCGCGACTTGGTCACTGCCACAGCCGCCATTTCTGCCTTGACGAGCTTTTGCATGGGCTTGTTTGCGAATATGCCCATTGCGCTGGTAAGCTTTCCCCCCCTTCCGTCCATCGATATATCCTCCTCTCCGCCTTATTAGGGTGCATCTCTCTAACCCGGTGGTTCGAATGATCATTAGGCTCCGGGTATGGGATTAAATGCGTATTTCGCCTTCAATGTAGTGGGTTACCACGGCACGGGCAATGTGCCATACCGGACCGCTCTCACCGCCGTGTTCATCGAAGGCTTAATCTTTGTCGCGCTGACGGTGCTCGGGATGCGACAATGGCTGGCCCGAGCAATTCCTGCATCGATCAAGCTGGCGACGGGTGTCGGTATTGGACTGTATCTTGCGTTGATCGGCTTGACCTACAGTGCTGGGATTGGTTTGGTTGTCGGCGGCAGCTCGACTCCTCTGGAACTTGCAGGCTGCGTGCAATCAGCCTTTGACGAAGATGGACTCTGTCCCAGTGGCGCCAAGATGCGGAATCCCACCCTCTGGATTGGAATCTTCTGCGGCGGCCTCGTCACCGTCTTCCTGATGATGTTTAGGGTCAAGGGCGCAATCATTGCGGGAATCTTGCTCGTGAGCATTATCTCCTGGCCTCGTGGCACCGACGTAACCTACTTCCCCTACACTCCCACTGGCGACTCGGGATTCGATTTCTTCAAGCAGGTCGTCACCTTTCGTCCCATCAAGAACATCCTCGCCGTCCAGGACTGGAGCATTGGCGCGCACGGCGGCCAATTCGCTGTTGCACTGGTTACATTCCTTTACGTCGACATCTTGGACTGTACCGGTACCATGTACTCCATGGCCCGTTACTGTGGAGCCATCGATGAAGAAACGCAAGACTTCGAGGGCTCCGCCATCGCCTACCTCGTCGATGCTTTCGGTGTCTCTATTGGTGCATTGTTCGGATCTTCACCTGTCACCGCCTACATTGAGTCTGGAGCAGGTATCTCAGAGGGCGGTGGAACGGGCTTGACGGCCATCGTGACCGGTCTCGCGTTTTTCGTCTCCATCTTCTTTGCGCCCATCTTTGCCTCAATCCCGCCCTGGGCTACGGGCTGCACGCTTGTCATTGTCGGATCCCTCATGACGAAAGCGGCAGCAGACATCAACTGGAAGTACATGGGCGACGCTGTTCCCGCATTCTTGACCATTGCCATCATGCCATTCACTTACTCGATTGCCTATGGCCTGATTGCGGGCATCATCAGCTACATTGTCCTCAACACCGGTGTCTGGCTGATTGAGAAGGCATCGGGTAGCCGTATTTCACCTCCCGAGAAGGAACACAAGGAGTTCTGGACGTACAAGTTGCCGGGCGGTGTGTTTCCACCTTGGCTCACCAGAGCTGCAAAAGGCAAAAAGGATTTCTGGAAGCCCTACAACGATGAGGAAGCGCACACCACAGCTGGACCGACGATTGAAGGCAAGGAGGCTGGTCTGATGGTGGGAGAGATAGATGCGAGAAGCAGTGCGGGCAACAGTGATGGAATTCAACATCCTCATACCAAAGAGGAACGTTGAAACCATGTGGCCTCAAATCGCTGCTGTGTATTGTTATAGTTTTGAGATACCTTTTTGAATACTTTCTCTCTTGAATGCTTTGAATCCTTGTCCCATTCCGGAAGCAAGCCATCCTCGTCAAGGAAGAAATCACACAGGCCACTCCCGGCTATTGCTACATCAGGACGGTCTGCAGCGAGTGAGGGCTGTAGACTTGTCGTAGTAGCAGACTAGCAGTAGTAAAAAAAAGGCAACAACAGCGTTGGAATTGCGAAGAGATGGCAATTCAACCGCTTTTCTGGCAGCTGGACGTCTGGACCCATCACCGACATGCATACAGGACCCTGAATATACAGTAGTGTGTAGATGATACTTCGATCTGCCGCCGTGCCTGTGCCCTGTGTCGCCCCGTTCTGCACCAGTGTACCAGAGATCTGGCCATACATGGATCATTATCTGAAGCAGTCCAGATCTGGATCTGTTGAGGCCGTACAGTGTTACAGTGTGGCAGTGTAACAGTGTGACAGTGTGTGATATAGGCAAAAATAACAAACAACACCTCGTATTCGAAAAAGGGGCGCGGGGGGGCCAAATGACAGTGTGACACGATCCTGACATGTATGTATGCAGTTAAAATCACTAAACAGTCCACAATCTCACGTGTTGCCAGGTTGGTACGGCATATAGTAACTGTATAACTGGGCAGTGGGTAGAGAGTGCAATTGAAAACCTGGAACAGGCTCACCTCTAATATCACATCCTGGACCCCGGTACAAGGTTTCCCTATCGAAATTGGGACATAACACCATTGGAGTTGGAACAGACAAAAACATGGTGACTGCCGTATATCCATCAAAATGACTATCCTCTTTCGTCGTTGTCGTTGTCGTTGTTGTCGTTGTCGTTGTTGTTCTTGTTCCTAAGCGTCGTCGCGTCGTCGTCGACAATAAGAAACAATGTCTCGTCGAATTGCACAAATCACTCTCGTGATTTGCTTTCTCCTCTTCACCACCGTCCTCGCGAATTCGGCAACAGATGTCTATCGACGCGCAGAGCGGCTGGAAAAGCGCGCTCGCGATATCAGACATCACCACCAGCAGCAGAACAGCTCCCCGGAACCAGTGGAGCGGAGACAGGACGGGAAGAAGTTCTTGACGGAGAAAACCAGGCCGTTCGAGGTCGATGGCTCCAAAATTCCACTCGTCGACTTTGACGTGGGCGAGTCATATGCGGGTTTGATGCCCATCTCAGGCGATGCCGACGAGACTCGAAAACTGTTCTTCTGGTTCTGGCCCAGCGTCAAGGGCGATGCGCCCAAGGAAATCGCTATTTGGTTAGTATCAACTTGTCACAATTGTAGTTTCTCGAGCTCTGGCCAACCCAGGCCAGGCCAGGCCCCCTGAGGTCAGCGAGAACAAGACAAGAAGAGGTGCACTAACGTTTTCTCTCCGTCTTCCTCAGGTTCAATGGAGGTCCGGGCTGCAGCTCGTTGATTGGCTTGTTATCGGAAAATGGACCGTTTCTGTGGCAAGAAGGGACCGAAGGTAATGCAGAATGGTGATGGAAAGAGAGAATATACAAGTTTCGCTAATCATGCCTTCACCCAGGTCCAACCCCCAATACGTACGACTGGAGAAATTTGACCAATGTCGTGTGGGTGGAACAACCCGTCGGAGTCGGCTATACCGAGGGCAAAGTGGACATCAAGAATGAAGAAGAACTCGCCAAAGAATTTGTGGGCTTTTACACGCAATTCATGAAGACGTTTGATATGCAAGGCTACGACATTTACTTGACGGGCGAGAGTTATGCCGGGTATGACCCCCCACCCCTTTCTTCTCCCTGTTAATCATTTTTTGAGAGTCTCAAATTAATGTCGAGAGCATCACAGCTACTATCTTCCCTACATTGGTGCTGAATTCATCAATGTCGACTCTCCCGATATGCCCCTCACAGGAATCCATATCAACGATCCCATCATCGGCACAAACGAAGCGGCGCAGGTAGCAACAGTCGTCCCATATGTCCAGTACTGGAACAACATCCTCTACATCAACCAGACCACCATGGACAAGCTCGCCTCCGCCCACAAGACTTGCGGCTACGAAGACTTACTCGCCACATACCTGACCTACCCTCCCCCACAACGCCCCTTTCCCGTCATCCCAGACCCCACGGCCAACTACGACGACAAGACCCAGTTTGCCGACCCCTGCGACCCCCTCAGCATTGCCTATGAAGCAGCCGTCTACAGTAATCCCTGCTTGAACATCTACCGCATCGCCGATATGTGTCCCCACCTCGAATCAGCTTTGGGCGAACAACGCAACCAGGGCGAGGACAAAGCAATCTATTTCAATCGCAGCGACGTGAAGCAGATACTCCATGTTGCCGAGAGCGCCTCTTGGGGCGAGTGCACCGGCTCGCCAGGCGTGTTCGTACCCGTGGGCAACAACACGGATGGGGGCGATCAGAGTGCCCCGCCGGCGTTGAATGGCGTGTTGACCAAGGTGATCGAGAAGACGGGCCGGGTGATTATTGGATCGGGCGGACTCGATATGCTGTTAAACACCAACGGCACCCTCCTGTCCATTCAGAACATGACATGGAATGGCATGCAAGGCTTCCAGGAATACCCGGGCAAGGACTTCTTCGCTCCCTATCACGAGGAATGGAACCCGCAAACCCTCGCTTCCTCTGGAAACGTCGGCACCTGGGGCTCAGAGCGCGGTCTGACATTCTACTACGTGCAGCTTGCAGGTCATATGGTACCCGGAAATGCACCCGGACCGAGCTATCGTGTGCTGGAAGTGTTGTTGGGCCGGGTTGACAACCTGGGCTCGACAGAACCGTTTACCACGCAGTCCGGGAACGCGGCAGGAGGAGGAGGAGGCGGTTTGGACAGGAATCATGCTGTCACGGGATGGCGTCATGGTAGTAATGGTGTCGGGCGCTTCCCCCTAAAAGGTGCTGCCGATTTACCATAATCTTCATTAGTACTGTAGTCGGCGTGCCTGTACAACGTCAGTATCTTATGTGAATTCTTCCATTGACTTGCCGTCGCGAGACACCAAGCCTCCTGGTGACTTCCTGTGTTGTTGATCGAGAACCCACTGTCAGTTTCCGTACCGAATGGACACAATTGGACACGGAACGCTAATGGTGAGGTTGCCGCACTGAGGCGCGAGGCCATGCAATTGCATGTGCGTGTTCCGTGGTCTCACTCATCGATCTGCTGTCTTTTCATCATCACGAGATCCGCAAACATCTCTTCTGCCTGTCTCATGGCGCCTTCATCCCCACTCCACTGCAAAATCCGAGACTTCATCGTCAAGCAAACCATTTGACCTTCCACGTCCTCGAGCTTCTCAAAGACCACCCTTCCCCGTTCGATGCTATCTTCTGCCCTTCGCATCAGTCGTGTCTGCTCCCCCGCCATGCTAGACGCATCACCATCGTCCTCCCGCTGCTGCATCTTGCCGGCAAGTCCTACGCAGCTCTCGCCCATACCGACCCACATTCTCGCGACCAGTCTGGCATTACCACCGCCCAGCGCAACAGGAAGAGCCGACTGGTACATTTCTTGCGCGGCTTCAAATTCGCCGACTTCGATCAGGACCCGCCCCAAGACAGCCAGTCCCTCCAGCATGATGGGAACGAGGAGATGTCGCTCAGCCGTAAATGTAGCACGGAGACATAAGCTGAATCCTTTGGCAGCTCGACCTGCTTCGGCGAAGATTCGGGCCTTTTGTATGAGCCAATAGAGACGTTGCGCTAGATCGGCCGTGGTGCCCAGGGATCCAGTAGTATTAAGGTGTATGTTGACCTTCTCCATTGCTGTCGGGTAGTCATTCTGAGCAATGCAATGCTCGACTTGAAGGGCGTAGAACTCGTGTGAGAGTTCCGGATCGGCGGCTGAAAGCAGGGGAAGCACCTGGTTAATATAGTAAGACGAGGCCTCGTGAGTGCCTCTGTGAGAGAACAGTGGTTAGCTCGATGTACCATGGCACGAAGTGAATATGAGCTTACCGATGTATTGATCGACGAAGGTGTATCAGTGCAGAAAAGACTTGCACGCGTGTATACGACTTGAGAATACTTCTCACAGTAGGTGTCAACTCATCTAGTAAAGAGAGCGCCTTTGTGTAGGACCCTTGATAAGCCAGTGCCAGTGCTGAACGGCAAGTTGCGCGGACACGGTCATTGACAGGACAATGCGCAGCATGCACTGTGTTGGCAATCTCATATTGTCTGTTCGCGAGATGTGCTTGACCTTTGACTCATTAGCATCTTATAAATGGTTAGTGGAGGTCCAACCCACCTAAACGCTCCATGCAGGAGCCATAGAATAACTGAGTAGCTGGAGCCATGGTCCTCAGATCATGCTGCATGCTCAGATACCTCGCCTGGAGAACATGCTCTTGCGCACGATTGGCATTGCCTCCGCAGAAGAGTTCTTGTCGGCCTTCTTCGAGAAGTGTACTGCTCATCAGTAACCAATTCTTGCTCTCTCGGGCCTTGGTCTTTAAGAAAGCAATTTCATCCTGTTCGCCTCCTCCGACAACGCCAGAGATGGAGGCATATGCTGCTGTACCCTTTCCTGGATGTGCGTGTCGAAGATAGAGCAGCCACGATAGCGCAAAATTCAGACACGCTGTGTCTTGATTTTCTCGAGCTGCGAACGATCAGTAGATGATTACTTATCGCGGCTACAGGGCTGCTGCTCACCCGTTGCAATGCATTCATTCATGGCATCAACACTCTCTTCCCAACACTCGAAGTCTGCGTGTAGCACACTCAGATGTAATAGTGCGTACTGGTAATAGATTCGGAGGTTCACGTTGTCCCCAGCGCCGCCACTGTTTCTCGCCGCGAGACTGTAGTCGAAATAGCGATGCAGGCTCTCCAAAGCCATGGTATACTGTCCAGCTTTACTGTGCTCAAAGAAAGCCATGAAGAAGTGCATACTTTGCGTGCCCGCGCTCGATGCGGAAAGCTCGTCGACCCAACTCGCGAGCTTAGTCTTGACATTTTCAGGGACTCTTGTTCCGAGCTGTTGTAGTTGACGAATGGCATGTGTCAGTAGCATATCCGTGTCCACCGCTGCCGCACTATTGTGCGCATCCGTGGCAAAGTCTGTGCGTTGACAGAATGAAGCGTGCGTTTCTTCGTTGCTGTTTCGCTCCTGCTGGTGATGCAGTATCTCCTGAGTGAGCACTGGACAGAACTTTACCAATTGCTCCCAGCCGGATGCTCGCCAGACTTCGAACGACTTCCACAGTGCTTGCAGATCCCCAAACTGGAGACGCGTGAATTCAATGTAGCATCTGCGGATGAACTGGCCGAGAGGACTGCCTGGTGTGACGGGTCTGGCGAATGTTACCGGTTTGCTCAATCTACGTGATGTCAGTGGTAGTTTGGCATCATCGGACACACTGCTATACCTGATTTTCGATCCAGGTGTCCGTACACGAGTGGTCCTCAGTCTGGTGATCAAGTCGTGCAGGTCTTGCTGACCCTTGCTGCCATGTTCAAAACAGGTAGCAAGGAATGCGTCCCATGCAGTGCCACGGCGAGTGAGGTTCCAATGGTGAGAGACGTAAGTCGCATCGAAGGGCTGGAGATGCGGCCGAAATGAAGAGATGTCGAGTGTGCAGATGGCGTTCTTCTCGTCGATGAGTTGCGCATCGTTGTCGACAGTCAGAATGGTATGCTTGGCGATAAACTCCAGTATGCCCGCGGCGGCATGGTGGTCGAGGCCGTCCTGCCGGTCACTTTCGAAGTACAGCTCAATCAAGAAGAGGAGACCGACACGAGCAGGAGTCAGGTAGCGAGGCATGGCAGCTCATTTCGGGTAGTCGGTCTTATTGAAGTGTTGGTCTTGAATGGGTGGTGGTGGTGGTGGTGGTGGTGGTGGAGATGGAGAGGATGAAGATGTTTCGAGGGGACAGTCCCAGGAACAACTACAGTATTCTGTTACGGAGTATCCCGTCGTGAACACCTTACAGGTATGTAGCTCCGGTCATGTAGTGGAGGCAATCAAGAAAGGACAGAGCGACGTTGATGTTGATGTCGCTGTCCCACACTGTCGAGCTATCACGTGTCAACGCGTGCCTGACGCGTCGCGCGTCTCCAGCACAGGTCGATCCGTCACCCACCTGTGCCATCCACTGCACCGTCTCTTCAATCCTTTGAGGATGTCCACTGCTTACGCATCATCTCGACCTCGTCGTCGCCGCCGGAATAGGAAGGATGAGGCTCACCACATGGAATGTCAACGGCATCCGCAATCCCTTCTCCTACCCGCCATGGAACACGTCCCGCTCCTACTCGTCCATGTTCGACGTGCTCGAGGCCGATATTGTGGTGATGCAGGAACTGAAGATTCAAAGAAAAGACCTCAGGGATGACATGGTGCTGGTGGATGGCTGGGACTGCTATTTCTCACTGCCCAAGCACAAGAAAGGATACTCGGGCGTGGGAATCTACACTCGGAATGCCACTTGCTCACCCATTCGAGCCGAGGAGGGTGTGCTGGGTGTGCTCCCGAGCAGCAATGCGGGAGTCCCATACCGAGAGCTGCCCGAGGAGGATGCCATTGGAGGCTACCTCAATACCGAGCAGTACTCGCACCTGTGGCAGCTGAGTGGTGAAGACCCGGCTGGTCTTGATGCAGAAGGCCGATGCGTAATTCTAGAGTTCCCGGCCTTTGTTCTATTAGGTGTCTACAGCCCTGCCAACAGCAATGGCATGAGAGATGGCTTCCGCTATGGCTTTCTGTGTGCATTGGACTGTCGCATACGCAACCTGATCAAGAGCGGGAAAAATGTGGTCCTCGTTGGAGACCTCAATATCACGAGGCACGAGAGCGACAGTGCGAGCACATTGGAGGAAATTCGCAAGAAGCAGGCGACGAGAGAGGAGTTTCTTGCAGGATCCAATAGGAGAATATTCAACCAGCTACTGCTCGATGGCGAAGTGCTTGGTGAGCGAGATGAAGGGAGAGAGACGGCCGTGCTATGGGATACGACCAGAGGCTTCCACCCCGACAGAAAGGGCATGTACACGCATTGGGACACGAAGATCAATGCAAGGCCTGGAAACTATGGCAGTCGCATCGACTTCGTGCTGGTTGCCGAGGCCATGAGGAGCTGGATCAAGGATGCCAACACACAGGAGGGATTGCTGGGAAGCGATCATTGTCCTGTGTACGTGAATTTCTATGACAAGGTAAAGACCCGAGCAGGCGACGTGGATCTTCTAGACATCATGAATCCCCCTGGCATGTTTGAGCAGGGCAAGAGGAAGCAAGAGTGGAACGTTGCATCGATACCTGGCTTCTCAGCCAAGCGTATGTCAGAATTCAGTGGAAGACGGACTCTCAAGAGCATGTTCGCGGCGCCGCCCATGAAGAAGATACAATCCGAGCAGCAAGAGTCAGCAGTGGAGGCAAATGCAATTCCTGATCTTCTGCCTTCCCAAAACGATAATTCAAGACTTCCTTTGGCAGATTCTGGCCAGGACAGCACTCGCGCTTCGACAGCGTCATCTAACAAACGAAAGGCGTCGGTGGCGGCGCCTGCTGTCAAGGAGCCACCTATCAAGCGCCAAAAGTCTGATGCGAAGACGACAGCAGCAAAAGGCCAGAGAAGTCTGAAAGGCTTCTTTCAAGCGAAGAATGCATCCTCTCCGACCAAGATTTCTTCACCAGAGAAGCAGCCCGAGACTTCTGGTGATATCACTAGCATCAACAGCGATGATCTCGAGCTGCAACGTGCCATGAAAGCTTCCACTGCTTTAAATTGCCAACTCTCCCAAGCAGGAGCAGATATCGACGACGTCCCACCATCTGCAGAGCCCTCGACACCGAGATCAGCAGAACCTCCAGACCCAGAAGATCTAGACATGTCTCCGCGCTCCTTTGCTCAACAACTCGCCTCTGCAGAGCAGACCCAGAAGTCATGGTCCTCGCTTTTCGCTAAGCCGGTGGCGCCCCTATGTGAAGGGCACAGTGAGCCGTGCAAGAGCATGCTTACTAAGAAAAAAGGCTACAATCAAGGCCGGAGCTTTTGGATGTGTGCGAGACCGCTTGGTCCCACTGGCGAAAAGGACAGGACGACCGGGAGTCAATGGAGATGTCCGACCTTCATCTGGTGCAGCGATTGGCAGGGTGGCAGAGTACATGCCGATAAAGGTGGAGAAGGAAGTCCAGTGAAGGATGGGGTCGATTGATCCTAGGAGGTACCTCTGCCAGGAGTATGACTAACGACAGCTTACGAGAAATTTGGAATGACACGAAAGGGACGGACGAACATGGATACCTTATGTGGCTTTGCTTCTTATGATACCCATGTAACGATTAGCTTCAGACATACTTCATATGGTAGGCATGCAGCCAAGTGCTGTCACGGGAACACTTAATTCATGCGAAGATACAATACGCTGATACGAGCGCTATTGATTAGATTGACAGACTCGTCATGAATTGATCTATCCGATCGAGAACATCATCAACAACAACAAAAACAACGAGAAAGACCTCCATCCCCAAGTCCTGGCCTGCCTGCGCCCTCTAGTCACCCAGCAGAACATGATGTAAAGCCTCATGTTAGGTATATAAGAGAGCTGCACTGCCCGTCGGAGCTGTCGCCGCGCCAGTCTCCAAGCGTGGACGTCTCATCGGAAGCAACTTGGCCTAGGTACTCTATGATGTGGAGTTTGCCCTACTTGATGAGGAGTAGAGCTGCATCTGTGATTCGGCCCAGCTGGAAAGCCAGGCCCATGGCATCGTGAGTGGATTTCTGCTATACACTTCATCTTCGCTAAACCGTTCCCAGACGGCACTCGCCTCTATGCTGGGCGCATGATCCCTAACCCTTCCCTCAGCTATTGTTATTACACTGTGTTGTACACGAGCTTTGCAGCCACTGTTCCGTCTCTCCCGCAGATAACTATACACTTGAGCTTTCTCCCAAGCTCCACAAAACACCTTCGTATACACCAAACATGATGGCAGCACTGGGCACCACTCGGAACATGTGTGGCACCAGTCCACCATACAAGCTCGCCATGCCCTCCTCTTTGAACACCGTCGTGAAACAGCTCCAGAGACCCGTGTATTTCACCCTCCCACTCGCATCCACAGGAGCCTGCCGTAGCCTTGTCCGCACCACCTCGTGAGGATACGTGATCAATGCAGCCACAAACTTGGCTCCTCCAGCGGCTGTCAGTTTCCCCGTCCACTCCACCGTCTGGTCCCACGCGTTCGGCGTCCTCCCACTCCTCACCAAGTCGTCATGTCTCCTCCCTAGACTTTTCTTCGCCTGTTCGTACAACATCCACTGCAGTGTACTTTCACTCACACCCAGGTATGATGCTGTCAACCCTCGATACAAGCCTCTGATCCCTTCGTGTCGCACCGTTTTGACCACACAATCCCACGCATTCTGATACGTCCTTCCCCCAGAACCCTTCGCGTGTTCCTTGTCCAATTGTAACCTCGTCTTGACCAGCCAGATCGGATTCGTCGCCGTGCCGGTTATGATCCCCGCCGTGGCAGCAGCCATCAGATGCGCACCGGCTACGTCTTGCCCATGGAAAAACTGATTCGCGTAGAAGCGTTTGCCATTCCCATATGCCCAGAAATTGATGGCTCTGGCAGGAACCACGCCAACCAGATTCGGTCCTAGGCCCTTGAACAACGCCTTCCCGCCTTCGACTTTGGGTATGGCTGCCAGAATAGCACCGGTCTCGGAGATATGTAACCATGCGGCTCGTAGAAGATTCATTTGACTCGGCGGGGGAATCCCCTTTGCTGCGCGACGGGCTGCCAGTTCGGATTGGTAGAAGGTGGATTGGAGGCGAGTTTTGAGGACGTCGAGGGGCGATGTCAGCGTCGCTGCCGTCATACCTCCCGCGCCACCGGCTATGAAATGGGCCCAAGGGCGGCGGTCTTTGATGCTTCTTCCATGTTGACTGGCGGGAGAAATTGCTGTCGAAGGGTCGATCTGGCCAAGTTCGCGGGACTGGGAAATGGGTCCTCCCGGGGTGGGCGGAGAGGGGAGTGTGAGCATGTGAAAGAGAAATGGCTGTTTGGCGGAGGCTGGGCGAGGGGAGGTAGTGGAGGCCGTGGAGGGGGGGGTTTGATGTTGTGGATGTTGTACCAAAATAAAATTATTTGGTGTGAATGGTATGCACAAGCACATCAGCTGGGTTCACAAAGTTCCTTTCGATGTGGCAAGCTTAAGCGAGACAAGAAAAGAGATGTGATCCCTGCTCGAGGTCGAGCATGCTTAGTCAGGTTTGCGGCGAACGCGGCCATCTCTGACCTCACCAATCACCACCATTTCACTTCACTTGGACATACCTACCTCCTACCTACATGTAGGTGGTCTTTCCCTTGGCTCTCGACCTACGATATCACACTTCACCCACCTCTCACTGGTCGCTCCTGGGGCAGCCCGCTGTTCACCAGCACGATACCAACAACAACAACAACAACAACTACCACAATTACCACAACCACAATGTTCGCTGCAACGCCTATTCGCCTCGCCGGCTACCCAGGTTTCTTTCGACGCAGCATGGATGAATTCAAACGCCAGGCCAAGTTCGCCGTCAAAATGGAAGGTCTCCACATTCCCATCAAGCCCTATCCCCTCATCAAATTCGACGAAAAGCTCTCGCCCGAACGCTGCAAGATCATGTGCGATTCCGATGTTGGGGGTTTCTCGCGTGCCAGCTTGACATATGTGGATGGCGCGGAGCACATGGAAAGGACAATCGGGGAAGGAGAAAGTGACAGTAAGAAAGGCGGAGTCATAATATCAGAGCCGGGAAAAGAACCCAGTCATGCAGTTTTCAAGGGCACGATAAGTACAGATCTTCCTCAGAATCGACCGCAGATTCAGAGAAGTGGATATGCGGGCTTTCGGACACGCGATCGGGGATTGAGCTTATTTGGGAAACTTTTGTGGGACCTGTCACCATACTCATACCTTGCCTTGCGCATCAAAAGTGATGGGAGGAAGTACTTTGTCAACTTCCAGACGGAATCCATCGTTCCTACGGACTTGCACCAGCATTTGCTCCCGTCCAGTACACCTGGAGAGTGGGAGACTGTCACCATACCTTTCAGCGCGTTTGTGCGTACGAATTATGGACAGGTCGTAGAGCCCCAGAGGGAGATGATGAGTACCAAAGTCAGGTCGGTGGGGATCAGTTTGATTGATCGTGTGCCTGGTCAATTCGAGCTGGCTGTGGCGGATATCTATGCCACGAATCGCGCTCCGGAGAGGAAGAGTGGACAACAGGAGGAGACTGGCTTTGACCTCAGTTTGGAACCTGAGGAGGATGTGGAACAGGGTAGAGGCATAATGGACGAGGTAGAGCCGAAGAGGAAGAAGGGTGAGCCGGAGAGGATATTGATATGAAAAGTAGAGAGAGAAGGAAGAAGCGATTGTCAGAGTGGCGAGGGCAAGGCCATGTTCCCGGCGCGCATACTTGGTGCCACCTATTGCTCGCTGGGCGAAGTGGTTGCGCATGGATGGCAACTTCAATGTCTTGACGGTGATGAAGGCGTGAAGCTACCGTATTGATACATGAAGGCTCAACGACACATTATAGGACGTTTACCACCGAGGAGCGCAAGGCGGATTTCTCTTCCCGCAGAAGAACGGGGATACTTCATGCAAATTGCCAAGACTTTCGCAAGACACCTGCTGGCTGGTTTTTCGAGAAACAGCTTGATGCGGTCAAGGACTCACGACAACTTTGCGCTAGCACCCGGCTCACGGCGCACGGACGACATGTGTGAAAAGAAATACACAATCATGTCGTACAGCTGTGTTCACAACGAGAACAACATCGCCGTCGAACATGAGCGTGCGCCGTTGGTACAGGCTGGCAAAATTGAAGATCTGTCGCTCATGAGAGGCGCACAGCAAGCACGTTGGGACGGGAGCCCTGGCGCAAGGAGACGGAAATGGGTCGCTTCATGATGCATCAGATGATCTCTTCCCATGTGGGAAGCGGAGATGAGCGATAGAAGGCATATGAGCTGTGCTGCATTACCTTGCCATCCAGCCTAAAATGGAATGAGAGCAGCAATATGTAGAAAAGTCATTTGAGTTCGAAGCCTCAAATCTGTTGAGCATCTCAAACTCATACCGCCGCCACATCGAAGCCCCTTCGAACGACAACAAACAGCCGCTCACTATAGCCATCGGTGTTGTCTTGCGGATAGCAAGGTATAGTGGTGCGGTCGTTATCTTGGAAGGAAGACAACCATGTGAAAGTCTGGTGATTCTGACATGCACGTCGCTTTCGAGACGGTGCGGACATGATCAATCGACGGCGGATTGTTGCCATCGCCGCTGCAAACACGAGCAGATGTCTTGATCACCTCATGAGGCACGTTGCATGTTCCGTTCGCATCGCAAGTCGCAATCACTTCTACTTGAGTTGTCACGAATGATTTGCACTGACCATGCTGCCGGTACTATTTGGCAGGTTTGCCGCTTCTTTGAGCATCTCCAACGCTAGGTAGTTCACCTCGGACATGAGGGGACTAACCGCTTGCTTAAAACACCCGCGTGCTCCCTTTTCTGCTCACTGCGGCCCATCCCTCCAACCAGCATTCACTTCGCCCTATAGGTATCATACGAGACTATATAGCGGCGACAGACCATCTGTCGACACGGAGGAAGACGACGGTGTCTGCAGGAAGTCTGCAGGCCATCACAAGCAGGATTGCAATGGATGTGGTGGCCTTTCTAGTACGCTCTGCAGATCCAGGGGAAGACAAGGAGAGACGAGCGAGGAGCTCATTGGCATGCCCGGTGAATGTCCGTTAAGAGCCGCTTCTTCACGTATAGCAGTAACTAATAGTCGCCGCCGTCCAGAACAATACTAAGTGAGTCCAAGGGCGGTACGTACTGTTCTTGCGAGCGGTTAATTGTTCTCAGATTTCTTACTAGTTGACTAGTAAATACGAATTGATATCAATACGCTATACTCTGATCAAGGGTCTTACTTACTATATGCCCGATGCACGTTAGAACTATAGCTCTACAGCTCTATACGTTCGAACTACAACTATAAAGCTCTATACGTTCGACTATCTACTGTCTGACGCTGATTGTACTAGAGTATTGAGACATTAGGGGAAGACTAGGAGAGAGGAGCGAGGTGCTCATTAGCATGCCCGGTAAACATCCGCTAAAAGCCGCTTCTTCACACATGGTATCAACTAATAGTCGCCGTCGTCCAGAACAACACTAAGTGAGTCCAACGGTATTACGTATTGCTCTTGCGCGTAATCGATCGTTCTCAGATCTCGCACTAGGCAACGAGTAAATGCGAATTGATATTCATACGCGAGAATCTGACCTAGTGTCTTCCTCACTACAGGCCCTATATACGTTGGAACTACGACTCCACACCTCCAACCATCTACTGACCGACGCTGACTACACCAACGCATTGAGACATCAGAGACCAGACACCGACAATGCCCTCCAGGCGCACTCCGAGGAGGACTTCATGCGATGAATGCCGGCGGCGACACGTCAGTACACTCCTCGCGAGCAACACCACGCTACCTGATTTCACTGACATGTATTTCTGTAGCGAGGTGGTTGCACACATCCGACACCTTCGCCCTCGACGCTTCCACCACGCCCCCCAGGTCGCACTCTTTGGCCATCTGGAGCTCCAGCACAGCTCCAGGGCGGTATTAATCTCCCTCTAGTTGCAATGAACGAAGACGGCTATGACAACCAGACGGAGGATATGCTAGCGACGGACTTGGACACGTTTGTGGAGAAGGCACCGCCATCGTTCGTTTGTGGTGTCTGCCAAATCCCAATCACAGCAACAGTCTGGCAGTCGTGTCGTGTATGTGATAGTGTCGACTTCGACGTCGGCTGTGTGAAGGAAGGTCGCAAATTGCACCATCGAACTCATCCTGGCCATGGATTCATCCAAGTGTCCTCGAACAGTGATAAAGCCGAGGAAGAGGAGGAGAAGCAGGCTGCAGTAGCCAAGCTGGCAACGAGTCTCGAAGAAGAGGGCACGAGCGGCGCAAGACGTCGTGACTCCCCACGAGCTATTGTTTCCACACCACGCAAGAGTACGTCCAAGCCCACATCGCAGCATTCACGAGCTCCAGAGCGTTCTTTGCTAGATCTCTCGGCAAAAGACCCTCTAACCGAAGCCATCGCCAAAGGAATTTCCCGCTCTCGACTCCAGACCGCTTCTTCCACGAGTGAATTCCATACTGTCGAAACATTTGCGTCGAAATGGCTCTTTACTATCCATTGCTACCTTCGCAGCTGGTCCGAACAGAATTCTAGCCCGACACATGCAATCAATGGCTTTCACATCCTCGTGGCATTCGACGCGAATGCTCAGTTTCATGGGTTCACGCGTCAGAGCTATCCTACCGAGGTAGATGGGGAAGAGTGCTTCGCCGTCCTGGAAAGTCAGGAGAAGCGTAATCACAGATTCACGAATCCATTCGAGGCTGCTGGAGCGGCTCGGAGGCTGAATCGGAGAAGTATTGAGATTTGGAAGGAGTTTCGTGACCGTGCTGGTGGTGATGGGGTTATTGGTGGTTGGAATATGGGGACGATGGGGGTCTCGAACTTGCAGGAGATGGCAAAGTTGTTGGAGATGGCGAGGTGAGGGAATTTGTAAAACAGGAGTTTGATATCGCAATTATCATTCCGGCATCAAGACTAAAGGATTAATTATGAGCTGGAGAGATGAATAATCGGCTTTGGGTTCAGATGTGGCGACCATATAAGTCTCGCAAATCGGACTGGTCTCTATTATCACTGCAATATCGTGATTGTCTCCTATTATAGTCATCACATTCGTCGTGAAAATAATGTCATTGGCACAGTACCTGATAAACGAGTAGAATAGTCAACATTATGATGTCTAACATCCATTTCGGAGCCGAAGTCCTCCAACGCTAGCCAGCATAGCAATCGAGCTAATACCAGCATGTCCCCGGCCATGTAAATGTAGCTAGGCATGATAAATGTCTTGTCTTGCAAATGCCGACGGGCAAAAACACACTTTTTACTTTTTACCGTGATACCTATCTCGTTGATAAGGTAGCTCGCTACAACTGATAATTGTACCGAACCCCCGAGTACGATTACAATCTACTGGCGATTATTGGAGCTTGCTGGTGGGATATATAAGCTACGGTAGCTACCTGATACATCTATAGAGAGCTTACGAGTGCGCCGGCGGCGGCGGCGAAGTGAAAGTTGCCCGATGGGAGAGTTTCTGAGGGGTGAGTATATGTACACTACTGGAGATGTTGAAAAAGGTCTACTATCTACCACTCTCTTGACTTGTTGTGTTTGTTCTATTTTTTATAGAAAAAGAGAACTGGTGGTTGGTTGTGATTGTGTGGGAATACTTCTGAATCAGTTATTCACTTACCGCAAAAATGAGCGTTGTTACGTTGCCCAAGTGAGTCTGAAGCACTACCGCATTGCTATCTATCGCCTTGGTCAGCAGCAGCAGCAGCATCAGACACTAACACCGGCTTCTTCCTCCAGCGGCACATCAAACCTCAGCAAAGAAGAAGTCATAACCCTCGCCTCCTCCGCCGGCCTGAAGCTCAAAGAAGCCCACCTCTCCGACTGGGCCGCCCTCCTCGGCTCCTTGGACCCGATAGTCAACAAATATCTCGAAGCCGAAGACTACACACTCCAACCAGACCTCACCAAATATCCTCGCACAAACATCTCCATCCCCTCGACCGCCGAAGAATCTGATCAAGGTGGTTGGGCCACCAAAGTCACCGTGTCCGCCACTTCGCCGACATCAGATTTACTCAAGGGCAAAACTGTGGCAATCAAAGATAACATTGCTCTCGCAGGAGTACGATGTACAAATGGAACAGAAGCAGTGACCTGGACACCTCAAATTGACGCACCCATCGTAACTCGCATTCTCGACGCCGGAGGAATCATCAATGGCAAAGCCGCGTGTGAAAACGGTTGTATGGAAGGAATCAGTGATACCTCTTGTACAGGAAATGTCCACAATCCTTTTGCGCCGGGCTACTCGTGTGGAGGATCGAGTTCGGGGAGTGGAAGGGTGGTGGCGAGTGGGCAGGCGGAAATGTCGATTGGATGTGATCAGGGAGGTTCCATTCGTATTCCCGCGAGTATGTGTGGTCTGGTGGGATTGAAGCCGACGTGGGGGTTGGTGCCGTATACGGGGATTTTGAGTCTTGAAGGGACGATTGATCATGCGGGACCGATTGCGAAGACGGTGAGGGATTGTGCCGTGTTGTTGGAGGCCATTGCTGGTCCGGATGGTATTGATGATCGGCAGCCGGCATATTTTCCGGAAAAGTCGTTGGAGTTTACTTTGGGGCTGGACGAGTTTGTTGCTGCTGCTGCGGGAAAAGAGAAGCCACTGGCGGGTGTGAAGGTGGGCGTGTTGGAGGAAGGCTACCAGATTCATGGCATGTGTGACAGTGTTTCGACATTGTGTAAAGCTGCTGTGGAACATCTGGCTACTCTCGGTGCAGAGATCAAGTCCGTCTCTATTCCTCTGCATCTCAGCGCAGCGGAAATCTGGATGATCAGTCTTCCCCTATCCGGCACCAAGACGGCCCTTCTCGGCGTGACCGAAGGTCGCAAGACACTCCATATGCTCGACCGTGCACCAGTGGAAAAGCTGTCGGATGAACAGTTCCAGAAACTGGGCCCGGGAGCACAAAACTTGTACATGCGATATCTGTACATGAAAGAGAAATGGGGAGCTCAAGTCCACGCCAAGTCCCACAATCTACTGCGAAAGATCAACGATGCGTATGATGCAGTGTTGGCGGATGTGGATGTGCTCATCATGCCCACTCTGCCCTCTCCCGCGTGCAAGCTGTTTGACCAGCCGAATGAACATGGACCGTTGGAGAGAATGAGTCGCAATGTCGGAATGGTGGGCAATACTGCTCCTTTCAACAGTACAGGGCATCCTGCTCTCACTGTGCCGGTCGGCTTTGTTCCCGCTCTCGAAGACGAGAGTGTGAAGTTGCCTGCGGGTTTGCAGATTGTCGGACGCAAATTCAAGGATCTCGACTGTCTCAAGGTTGGAGCAGCGTGGGAAAGTAGTGTCGATTGGAAGACTTTTGGTAGCAAATGATGAGGGCCCTGGGTAGTTTGGTAGCCTACGGAATCATCAGGTCAGCTTTTCGGGCAGTAAATGAATGCATTGATTCCGCTTACTCTCCTGCTATGTTGTCTCGTATCTGCACGGTACCGTAAGGATAGTGAGTAGAAGTGAGGTCGATATGTGAATGCGTCAATTTAATGTGCACTTGGCTAACCATTCTCGATTTGGCTTCTTACTCGTCACGGAGGAGGAGATGGAGGAGAGGGATGAGGATGAGGAAGAGGAGAGGGAGAGAGAAAAGAGTATTGTTCATGGCAATGGAAAAAGAAAAAAAGAGTAAAGAGGTTCAATGACGCCGTGGTTCTCTCGTCCTTCCCAAGATATATGACAAAGGGCATCTTATCAAAAGAGACCACAGTGATTCACCAATGAAATCACGAAAAAGAAAGCCCAGAGGAGCGATGATAGATTGTATCTGCAAGAGGCGACTTGGCCGAAGACAGCGTTGGTCCCAGAGAGTGAAATTTGTATACCACTGCTGCATACCACTGCTGCAGGAGGTTCTGAGCAACTTTGTCGGTCTACCTTTCTGAAGACTGAGGCGCTGTCAGTATATATATGAATATGTACACTGAGGTGAGACTCCACCATCACCACCACCTTGAGGGGTCTCACACACACACACATACCTTCGTGGGCCCTGCTTCACCTAAGGTACATAGGTACAAAGGGCGGTGCCGTTTTTAGCGTACATAGTCTTGCATGTATCCTCGAACTTGTCCCATTGGCAGCAATCGCAGAGATTCGTGTCCAGGCAACCAGTGGTTCCAAACTATATGTATGTAGTAGATTGTAGTCAGTCAATCAGTCAAGTCCTCATCATCATCATCATCATCATCATCATCATCATCATCATCATCATCATATCGGTATGATGACAAGTAATAATAATGATGATCATATCGCAAATCAACGTACCTTATTCTTGCAACTATAATTGACAATAACGTAGCCCCCGAGGTTGATGGTGCCAACGATACAGGTGTCGTTATCGCATGTGCATTCTGGTGGAGTTGAAGGAGTATTGCCGTTGCCATTGTTGTTGCCATTACTACCATCATCACCACCATCACCTAGTTCCTTGTCATGCTTCTTCGGGTCGCGTTGGGCCAGGCGGTTGTCCATGACAGAGGCATAGACGCCCGTGGCGTAGACGACGAGGGCGAGGGAGGAGATGAGGCGCATCTTGTTGGAGTAGGAGGGGCGGGTGCTTCGCGTAAGAGAGGTGTGGCTTCGGTGCTCTTCCGGTCTCGAAAGGGTCTCGAATGCGAATCTGCAATGTCGAGAAGACGACAACAACAACAATAACAACAACAACAAGATATGGGCTCTACCGTAAGAGTATTTATATTGCTTCCTCGTTTGAGTTGACATGGTTCTGCTTTCGAACCACCTGCCTACCCATCCTCATTTAGTGGTATTTTATAGTTTTGCCGAATGTGAACCCCTTTCGTCGAGCCAACAAGTCGGGAACAGTCCAACACATGACCATCTCCAACACATCCAGGGAACCCTAGTGATGACTGCAATGATGCTCCGTTCATTAACCAGGGGGTGGGAACCTCTTTACACTGTGTACAGACTCCAGAGATGATGTTCTTTTGCATCTTTTGTCTGGCGGGCGGACTGATGGAGGGAGCTCATAAGGAGCTTAGTTCCACGGCCGGTGATGAGAAGATACCTAGGTATGCTGGCACGAGGCCGCATCGCGTCGCCGTGTACGATGGATGATGCTGGTTTGTCCATGGGTGCAGCAAATGTACAGCGATACAGTCAGCTGTGGACTCTCTTGCTGGTTTTTTGTTTGAGGATTCTGTTCTGATGATGAATGGCGTTGTAGAAGAAGCAGTCAGGACTCTCAGGAGAACCTGGGAGAGCAAGGCAGGGAGAGATTCCCGAGATGGCTCATGATAATTCTTCCGTCTTATGCGTAGTTTGAGCCATTCAGGCAGAAAGGAAGACAAGGCTCAAAAGAGATGCTGCAAAGTATCAAGAATGAAGATGGACCGACTGTAGGAGGTAGCAGTGTTGCAATGTTGCAGTGTGGTGAGTGTACTTGTTGGTCCAATTCTACTTGATCCAACCCGCGACTAGGGTGAGTGTCCAAACAGAGGGCACCCGGCATGCCAAGATTTTTAATTCAGTTCTAGACTCCATCGTGTCCCCGGTCGAATAGATGGACATGTCCTCATTGGGATCAAACGACGGGAAGATGGACAGGAATGGATATTGAGAGTGAATGGACTTCCCTTATGATTTATACACGATACCTCCGTACCACTAGGAGGTAATCGGACTACATCTCATCGGCCTTGGCGTAGCTGCACCGTACCTTACCGCACCGTCCCGTGCCGCAGTGTCCAGTGTATTACAGTATGGAGGTACCTCCTAGCTTACCGTGCTTCTTCCGAACTTCACAGTTCCCATACGTGTCCACATACTGACCTTCTCTCTTCCCTCTTCCGGCATATGAGCGGAGGCGGCGGCGGAGGAGGAGGAGGCTGAGGACTCGAGGAGGAGGGCGGGATTGTAGTAGGTCAGGTAGGTCAGGTAGGTAGGCAGCAATATCATCACTCCATTCTCCGACCTTCCACTGTCTTTGACTCTTTTGAGATTGCTCTCCAGCTCCTTGTAGCCTGTCAGGTACCGATCTGGGAATCTTCATTGATGCCTAGTACCACTACTACTACTACTGCCTGAGATATGGATTGATCGATGGAAGACAACGACCACCACCACCAACATCATCATCAACACCACCATCAACACCACCACCCCCTCCATCAACACACTCCGCCTCCTCCCGCTCGACGAATCTCCCTCTCCGCCCTCACTGCCTCTCTGCCCATCCCCGTCCTCCCGCCCATTCACCACCCCCACCACCAATCTCAATCCCACTCCCACTCCCACATTTCGCCGCAAGTGTTGGAAGAAGGACACGCCTCCTCCTCCACCTCCCGACTCGTGGCTAGGGAGGACGACGTGGAAAATCACTTCTCTGCCTCTGACTTCCACGACAACATCGCCTCATCGATGCCCTCTCGCAAATCCAAAGCCCCCAATCCTCGCGGGGGCTCCTTGCGGCACAAGAGCAGCAGCACATCTTCCTCGCTGAGTGGGAACAATACCGACAATAACAACCACGACCACGACCACGAGCACGAGCACACCCCCTCTTCATCCTTCGACATGAACGGCGGCCAGTTCATCGAGCGCCGCAAAAACGCCCATGTCGAATCCCTCCACTACGACAATGACGACGACTCTGCCGACGCGCGCGACAGACTCATAGGGAGGGATACCTTTACTTTGGACGAGGCACCCCCCGACGGCGGCGCGACGGAGAGTAAAGGCTTCTTCGAGTTGCCCATGCAAGATCGGAGGAACTTCTTACTGCTCGTCTTACTATATTTCTTACAAGGCATTCCCATGGGATTGGCCGGAGGTTCCGTGCCGTTCTTGTTGAAGAGTCACTTGAGCTATAGCCAGATTGGAGTCTACTCTCTCGCTTCCTACCCCTACAGTCTGAAGCTCCTCTGGAGCCCCATTGTCGATGCCATCTGGTCGGCCAAGGTGGGGAGGAGAAAGAGTTGGATCTTACCGATCCAGACCCTATCGGGTTTCGGAATGATCTATCTGGGCCGTCGCGCCAGTCAGATGATGGAAGCTGCAGGCGCCGACAATGGTGCCGGCGTCTGGGGCTTCACGGGCTGGTGGTTCAGTTTGGTCTTTATGTGTGCGACGCAGGATATTGCCGTGGATGGATGGGCACTGACGCTGCTCTCACAGAGCAATTTGAGTTATGCCAGTACGGCGCAGACGGTAGGCTTGACCGGAGGCCAATTCCTCAGCTATACCGTCTTTCTCGCCCTCAACTCTCCCGATTTTGCAAATAAATGGTTCCGCACCCAGCCCATGGATGTCGGCCTCATCACCCTCAACTCCTACCTGACCTTCTTCGGCTGGTTCTATCTGCTCGTCACCCTCGGCCTCGCCGTCCTGAAGAATGAGAACCCCACCAAGGAGAATGAGGGCGTGTGGGGGGTCTACAAAACTATGGGAGGTATCATGAAGTTGAAAAATATCCAAACTTTCATCCTCATCCACCTCATTGCGAAGATTGGCTTCCAGGCCAACGATGCCGTCACCAACCTCAAGTTGCTCGACAAGGGCTTCAGTCAAGAAGATCTCGCCTTGGTCGTCCTCATCGATTTCCCCTTTGAAATGAGCCTGGGATACTATGCAGGCAAGTGGTCGGAGCAGTACCAACCCGTTCGCGTGTGGTGTTGGGCCTTTGTTGGAAGACTCGTCGCCGCCGTGTTTGCGCAATTGGTCGTCATGTTTTTCCCATCCGGCGGCACCACGACATCCTACCTCCTCGTCATCATTGTCGAACACGTCTTTTCCACCTTTATGAGTACCGTCATGTTTGTCGCCATTTCTGCTTTTCACGCCAAGATCAGTGACCCGGCCATTGGTGGCACCTATATGACTCTCCTCGCCACGTACGTATCTCGCCTCTTCCTCTTCCTCTTCCTCTTCCTCTTCCGCCGCGTCCTTTGCTCACATCACATACATGTACAGAGTCTCCAACCTCGGCGGCACTTTCCCTCGCTTCTTCGTCCTCAAAGCGGTCGATGCCTTCACCCAGGCCACGTGTCTGCCTCCGATCGGTAACCCCACCGACTTGAAAGGCGACCTCATCACCCAAAGCTTTTCTTGCGTCGCCGAAGCTGAAAAACATCGTTGTCTCAACGGTGGTGGGACGTGCGACATTGGGAGAGACGGATATTACTATGTAAATGTACTCTGCGTGGTGTTTGGGGTCATCACATTTTGGGGCTACATCAAACCGGCAGCGTTGAAGTTGCAGGCGTTGCCCATGAGAGCGTGGCGGTTAAGTGGGCAATGATGATGTATGATTGTAGGAGTGCATATGTGATGGAGGCGAAAAAGATGCATTTGTGTAATATACCAAAAGAAAGACCAAGTGTAGATCGCGAGATGAATAGATGTCTGTGTTGGATATGGGGTGCTTGTGCACTGTACGAACATGGCTTCATCTGGATCTTCTCTCTGGAGATGGATCAGCATTTGCATCTGGTAAGACTGGAGTTTCTTCTCGCCGTCGTCCATGATGGAAAATGTGCCTCTCGTTCCGCCCCTTGGCGTCGATTCTCTCGGACAACCATGGCTGGGATATCAATGAGGACCCCCTTCTCTCGTCGCTGGACTCATCATCGTATATCACGAAAGCCGTTGACCCAGCACACAGACACTGGTATGCAGTCGCTATCGACAAGCTTTACACGGTGTCGAAGTGATATCGAAGCAATCTTGTCAACCACCAAGCTCTTGGCGTTTTGCTTCGGCATCTTGTGCTTACAGCTCCCTACATAATCCCGGGCATATTACTACTGCACTCTCTGCAGATCACTACGCTCCCGTGGTTCTCGTGCATTTGCTGGCAGATCCACTGCTCCACTGATCCCATCGCCCGCGACTGGATCTCATCATCATGTGGCACGCCCTATCTCCAGAGCATCACAGATACGGCTTCACCACGCTTTCGTCTTGGCATCGATAGGCTCAACATCGCCTAATTCTGCGAGCAATATATCGATCAACTTGGTGCAATAGAGGTAGCATGCCGTCGTTTTTGTTACCAGCATCACATCGATGCCAGAACCAGAATTCATGATGGAATCCAACAAGACTCTGCCACCTGGCACGGTTCGCCTCATTGACAACGACCGCACCCTCAGCACGAAACATGGAAATGGCTCCGAACAGGATATTGTGCTCGTTCCCACACCTTCAGAAGACCCCGAGGATCCGCTGTACGATATTTTCTTTTCCCCCAAAACCACTCGACGATACGCATGATATGATGCGACTGACATGATCCCACCCATCTAGCAACTGGACATACCGACGCAAAATGCTCGCGACATCCTGCGTGATGATGTACACTCTCATGATAGCTCTCCCCTCGGGATCCGTCTATTCCGTGGTGAAACCCATTGAGAAAGCCACCGGGCTCACGCTCAACGACTTGAACACCGGCACGGGCGTCATGTTCCTCGCATATGGCTGGGCGTGCGTGGTCTGGCAACCCCTGGCATTGCAATACGGCAAACGTCCCGCCTACTTGTTCTCCATGCTGGCTTCCATTGCCATCATGACGAGTGCTCCCTGGTGTACGACCCGAAGCACCTATCTCGCCAACAAGGTGTTGCAAGGTTTCTTTGGAGCTCCCGTCGAGGCGCTCTGTGAGATTAGTATTACGGATATTTGGTTTGCGCACGAGAGACCCAAGTATTTGGCCTGGTATGGGTTTGGACTGAGTGTCACGGGGAAATTGGCGCCCATGTTGGCTGGGTTTATTAATGATGGGCAGGATTGGAGATGGGTGTTATGGTGGACTGCGATTTGGATTGCGATTGCTTTTGTCTATTGCTTCTTTTTGATGGAGGGTACGTACCTTCTCTTCCCTTTGCTCCTTTTTTTTTTCTTTTTTTTTGCTGACTTGAATACCAGAAACAAACTATGATCGCACACACCACACCCCGACTCACGCTCCCGCAAGTGAAGTCGTAGTCTCCGAACTCACCTCTGGCATCAACTCCACCACCGTCCACGAAAAAGACTCCAAACCCCTCGATGCCCTCTCTTCTTCCTCCACCTCCGACCGCGAACCCGGCCAAATTCTCCCCCTCTACCCTCGCAAATCCTACTGGCAAAAACTCCGGCTATTTCCATACGCCAACAACAACAAATCCCGTCCCAACCGCATGTTGGACATTTTCCTCGCCCCCTTCAAAGGCTTCACGTACCCCGTCATTGTCTACGCGGGACTCATGTACGGCGCCAACGCCCTCGTGTGGTCCGGTGTACAAAACGCCACCACCGGAACCGTCTACACGACTCTCTACGGCTTCTCCACCACGGGCATCGCTGCAGCGTACTCAGCAGGTGTCATTGGAGCGATTCTGGGCGGCTACTATTGTGGCAAAATGGGCCGAATCCTCACGGTCAAATTGGCCAGACAAAAGGGCAGAGACGGGATTAGTGAGCCAGAGGATACGTTGTACATGTTTGTGGCTTCGATGATTCTTGTTCCGTTTGCCATGTTGTTGTATGGATTGGGAGTCACGTATCGTGTTCATTGGTTTGCGTTGGTGTTTTCCCAGGGCGCGTTGGCTGTGAGTAATTGTCTGTGTGTGGCCGGTGGGATTGGATATGCGATTAGTTCGTATCGGGAGTTGAGTGGGGATATGGTTACGACGTTGATTTTGATACGGAATACCTTGAGTTTTGCGGTGAATTATGGGTATGTCTTTTTTTTCTTCTCTCTCTTTTTTTTCGTTATTATCCATCTAATCTTTCCATCTTCCATCTTTTTATAAGAAGAAGAAGAAAAAAAAAGAAAGACTCTGTACTAACATCTATCGTGTCTCTTTGTCCAGAATTACACCCTGGTTGAATGCATTAGGATATCGAAATACATTCATCATGGTCGCCGTGATTGGTTTTGCATGGAATGCTTCACTGTTCATCATGGTGAGGATTGGACCACGTCTGCGCGCTTCCAGTGCAGAGCGATATTGGAAGGACGTGGCCAAGGCTCGAGCGAAGGGGTTAGGGCATTGATTCGATTTTGATTCGATAGGGCAGGTGATAGATAGTTGGATGATATTCTAGAGTTTGCGAGATTCTCTTTTTTTTTCTTCTTTTCTCACAATTGGCTGGAAATGGAATTTTGACTGAACGGTAGCCTACAACCACGACCCAGAAGGAGAAGAAGAAGAAGACTCCCACGTCACACGAGATGATGAAATCAGATGAAGATGGAATTGTCACTACGATGACGGGAAAGAAGAAGAAGAATAAGAATAGGAAGAGAAAGACGAAGCCTTCGGTGGTGATGGTGGTGGTAGTGGGGGATGTGGCGAGTATGCCGAAGAGGGATGGATATGAGGGATGGATATGAGGGGTCTGGTGATGAGGGGAGGGGGAGGGGGAGGGGGAGGAGGAGGAGAGGGCGAGAAGGATGCTGTAGATAGAAAAGGGAGGGCGGAGTCTAGAGGTTTATTGAACGATTGATTGATCAATCGATTGATGATGTCAATCAGGGGAAGAGGGGTGGTGGTGGTGATGGAGGAAAACAAAGAGGCGCTTGAGGAGAAAATGGTCGTCTCTTGAGGGACTCGTCGACTGTTGAGAGCTGTGAACGAAGTTAAATGAGGGAGGAGGGTACGTGCCAGTCTTCTCCCGACAGCATGCTTCTTCTTCTTCTTCTTCTTCTTCTTCTTCTTCTTCTTCTTCTAGCGTGGCCTTGGTGTCGATAGAGCACGGTGTATTCCATGTCCCATCATGGTTTCATGACTCTTAGTCAGCCAACACACATGTCGTGTCATGTTCCTGGAATAGAACGTTTCCAATTCAGGGTCATTCTCGTGAGCAGCGTTCATTCTCCCGTACGGGGAGAGGTCGGGAGATGAAACAGAAATTGAAGAAAGACATGTCAAAAAAGTGTACTTTCTTCGGCCAACCCAGCCGTCAATCGGCGTTCATCAGACAAAAAGTACGAGGCGTTGTACAAATCTCTTTTCCCTACGCTCCATGTTCCGGGGTATCATAAAAAAATCCATGCCGTCCATCCATCACCACTGATCAATTGTTCAATGCACCCCTTCAGTAGGCACCGTATCCTCCGCCACCCAATTGGTTCCTTACCCAGAACTCATTATACGTCGAATAATCCCTCTCCCCAGAAAGACCCAACTGACTGGCGATATTCACATATCCCTCTCGATTCCTCTTTCCGCCCATTGCCACGCCTTTCAAATCTGCAGCGCTAGCATCATCTTCCTGCCACGGACTCCTGCAAAATGGACAAGTGACATATCCTTGACCCCGCTTCGTAGCAGCCCATTGCCCAAAACACTCCTTGTGGATGTTGTTTCCACAAGCAGCTTTACAGTATACCACGAGTTCACCCTGCTTGGGCTTCCCCGCATTGTCGGTCTCGAATTCCGTCATGCAAATAGGACAATCTTCTCCTGCAAGTGGCTTGCGGTTTCCATCCATCTCTGATCCATCCGCTCTATCCTGCTCTGCGACTTCCGACGGAAGGGGTGGGGCGTGCTCGAAGATCTCGCGCAGTTCAGAGGACACAAAGGCGAGTTGATATTCCAAGTCTTCTCGTGCTCGCAGCACACGAGCGAGAACGTAGACGATATGCTTGCATTGATGGCCTTTTCGGGCATGCGGACAGGTGCATGACGGAACGCGAGAGATGGTGATGTGGTAGATGTTCCCGGTGGTGCCTGCTAAGGACACGACTTCGGTGGCATGGTTGTCTGGTGACTGCGGGTGAATGTCGGCGGGCGCTGGCGTTCGTTTGCGGTCAATGACAAACATGCGCTGGGTGAGAGCGCGATGGCGGATGTCGGCGTAGGCTTGGGGGGCCCTTTTGCGGTAGACTCGGAGCCTCTTTTCGGTGTCGGTGGCAGCACTCTTCGTCTTCTTGCTGGAAGGCGTAATCTCGGCATTGGCATCGTTGTTGTCGTCGCGAGTGAGAGCAGCGGACTTGCGCTTGCGAGAGGCTGTCACTTGGACTTCACTCTCACCACGGGCTCGAGAGTGCCGCTGGTGGGATGCATGCTGCCTCGGGGGCGGTGCATCAGACTCGTCGGCGTCGTCGGTGAGATCAATGGGCGCGTTGAGGGTTCCACATGCCCGCAGACGGGCTCTATCGCGTGGCAGAGGGAGTGAATGGTGTTGATGAGAGATGGACATGACCAGACGTCGACTGCGGTTGTGGTACGAGGTTGGTCAGGGCGTTGTCCAACACGAGGGGAGAGAGTCGCGATGGATGCACGATATCACGTGTGTTTGGCGGTCCGTCAAGGTCTCGGCCCGTCTCAACGTCCGAGGACCCTTTACTTGGAATTCTTGAATTGGCCCTGTTTCACAAAACACCCCCTCGGCCCCGACCCCGACCCCTTTCATTGCTACTGTAGGCCATGCAAATGCAACCTCACTTACCATCGCCAGCAGATCCGCCATGTGAGTACGCTGTTGTAACAATCCTACCTAGGTACATATACCGCGACTGGATTTGTTGTTGTTTTTGTTGTTATTATTACGTGATGGCAGGACCTGCACCACCATCAGGTGAGGCCACCAACTAGTCGATTGACTAAAAACTGCCAGGTACAAGTGCACTCACTCATGGGACAGCCTGATCCTAGCCTCTCGCTCAAGCAATATCACTCCATCCTAGTCTTAGCGTAACGGTATTCGTACAATTACACATTACTAGTGATACTACATGACAAGTTTGACAGCAGCGACTTGCATATTTCATGGTCCCCTGGTACTATCGTCAGCAGCAACCTGGCTACAAGTCAAGCAAATCAAGCTCAAAAGGAACCTCCATAGCCTATTTTACCTTTCCAGACAGCCGAACCACATGCTCTTTATACGAGAATGTCCGGATGATGGAGCATTAGCTCTCCATTTTTGCTATCTTTGACCGCCAAGCCGAGTCTTCCGGACTGTTGTCACTGTTCAACTCCAGACCCCCCGGACGGGACATGGGTGACAAGCCGGGGCTTCATCTCGGATCAACGACGTATTGGTATCAGTAGTATCATAGTCTGCTACTTGGAGACTTTTGCTGCCTCGGAGGCGCAATCATGAGGCCAGGGCTCACAAGCCTCACGGCGTAGAACACGATCCCGCAGGCATCGTTGCGCAAATCGCAATTCACGCTCCAGACTAGTCTTGGGCGTCCTGTCAATCAAGTATACGATGTAGGTAGGTATTTTTCTCGTCCTGGTTGCTATTGCAAAAAGCCTCGACCCTCTTTTCGTCTCTGTCTTATCTGTTATTCGCTCGTTTCTTGCTCATTCTTGCTCTCTCTCACTCTCTTCCCATCTTCTACTCTCCCCATATATCTGCACGTCATGTTCACAGACTACTGCTGGCCTAGGCTGCTGGTGCTGTCTGCAGCCTTGCTTTTGCCCGTGCACGCTACCAACGGACATGTCAAGCGGCAACAACAAGAGACTGCAAAGCAGCGCTGGGACGAGCTGCATTCCAATTATCTAGATGGTTTGCAGTCCACCCTAGAACAGGATGGCCAATGCACCTGGGACACTATGGTGGTCCGGAGAGAATGGTACGCACATCACTTCTGGCCGCCCAGACCGATTCGAGATATGCATGCTAAGATACCATGGTAGGGGAGACATGACTACGGAAGCAAAACAAGACTACATCTCGGCATTACATTGCATGAAAAGATTACCCTCTCAAACCAGCCGAATAGAATTTCCCGGTGCCCGTTCTCGCTTCGATGACTTTGCAGTAGCCCATCTCATCAACACGGAGACGGTGCACCGCTCACCCTGGCTCGCCATCTGGCATCGACATTACGTCTGGACGCTCGAACAAACCATGCGAGAAGAATGTGGCTACCAATATGGTACGTGATTCTTGCTTCCTCAGTCTCCTCCTCCTCCTCCAACTAACCTTTTCTTCTTCTTCTTCTCTAGGCCTTCCATACTGGCACTGGTCCAAATACCTCGCAGAAGACCCAACCCAGTCCGACCCGGAGTCCTGGCCCCTCTTCGACGGCAGCGAGACGTCCATCTCCGGCAACGGCACACAAACAGGCCCACAATGTTCATGCATCCAAACCGGCCCTCTCGCCAACTGGACCATCAACTTCGGCCCTACCACCAACGGTTGGGGCTGCTCTCGCAACCCACGAGGCGACGGATACGGGTATAATCCGCGTTGCATCGAACGTGCATTCAGCGTCAGCGATCTCGCCCAGCTCCAATACAGCGATGTCGTCAAAACCGTTGATGAGGGAGCCACCGCCAACGATTTTGCTAGTCTCCTCGAACTGATCGCTCCAAGCACGCATAACGCTCCGCACTTGTTCATGGGCGGCACGCAAATCGAAGTTCCCTTTTCGAGTCAGGATCCTTGGTTTTTCTTCCATCATGGTATGGTGGAATTTGTGTTTGCCGTTTGGCAGAGTGTGGATTACGATACGAGAACGACGACATTGCCCGATCCGGAGATTTTTAATGATATTCGCGCAAACGGCTGGAGTTTACCCGTGCCGAATCCCACGCTGGATAGTGAGATTTATCTGTCAACTGTGTTTGAGAATATTACGGTCAGAGATGCCATGTGGACGAATCGGAATAGCTATTGTTACCGGTATGAGTAGAGTTGTACCCAAGGAAATGAAATCTGAGATAGAGGGACGAATCGGAAGTGGAAAATCAGGGTAATGTGTAACACAGAAAAAAAGGATCCAATCGTGTCAGCAGTTGCACGACTACAGTCGTTGAGAGTACGTCTTGCTATATAGCTTATGATAATGTACATGTTTTCACGTTTTGAAAGTGTGACGTTCTGGAAGCGAGCCATCTTAATATATTGGAGCCAGTCCAGCTCACTGCGATAGGACCTAGCCCGAGTGAGGACAAAACCGCAGAGATTCCGACCTACGTGAAAACGACACCGACGACGAGCTACGGTAAGAGAAGGGAGGCATGAAATCGGATGACCCCATATCCCTTCCTCCCTCCCTCCTCCTCCTTGCCTAGTCGTCGAAAAAAGAAATTCGGCGATGATTCTCGAATAAAATTCGTTTGCTAGAAGTAGAATGACTAGTACTAGTAGTAGAGGCTAGAGTCCCTTATCCAATCTATACCTACACTAGCGCGAATAAAGAAAAATACTTTATATCAACAACAGCAAATAATATTACCTAGCACTACTGTCGTTATTCCCGTTACCTAAGGCATGAATCTCCGCGCTTCGAACATAGGTATACGCAAAGTGCGGCTGTTAAATACACAACCTCTGTTCCTGCTATATATACGACCGACAAGGGAATGCGTCTACGAATCTCGTATGTTTGGAGCAGCTCCTCTGGCTTCGAAAGGCAGACAACGTGCGGAAGCGAATGCTGAGCCGAGTCAGTCAACAGACAGCAACGAGAAATCAGAGCAAGGATCTACAAACATAAGAATTCGAAGGCTGGGTGGTGGTCATCTCTACTACATATCGTCGAGCTGTCTGCCAAATTAGCCGCCTCAGGGCTCTCCCATGTTGCCGCAAGGTGGTTGGGTGGTGTCCTCCGACGACTTTGAAGTCGGCGAGACGAGGTCAGAAGGCGACTGAGATCTCTCGAGTGCAGATGACAGCGACTTTGCAGATTTTCGTTTTGCCGTGCATTTGACGTTTTCAATTCCATGCGTCGCCCGGCGGAGCCCTCCAGCGAGCACCATGGCCACCACTTGCACCACTATCCCATTCTTCAGTGCGTACATGCGAGAGGTGGGTTCCCGTGAACAGGCCATTTCGGGTGGTCCTCGACGAGCACCGGGACGAACATTGGCCTCTGCGCCATGCGTGCACACCCGGCCCAAACCGCTATCGAGTGGACGCATGTCACAGCGTCCGTCGGTCGAGAGTGAGTGACCCTGAGGGTCGTCCGGACGACCACACCCTCCACGTGTAAAAATCCGTGCTTCTTGGGAGATCGAGGTGACGCATGCAAAGGTTCCGGCTCTGCAAGGACAGCAGAGCAGCAGTGTCTAAAGTTCGAATATGCCACGGTCAGCAAAAAACCTTCCGGTTAGCTTTCGATGTACCATACTCCGGGCCCGTGGGACAGCCCCAAATATGACTGTTTCGTGATATACAATAGTGGTTCAACCAACCATACGTCGCAACTCTCCATCCTCCCACTGGTTCGCGAGTAAACAAAAAATGAGGACAAAGTCACATATTACAGCCGGTGCCTTGGGGCAACGGGCGAGCAGTATACAATACTGACGCACCACCGCCATCCCACGCCTCTCTTTGACTCTCCCACAATTACCACGCTCCACATCTTGCAGACCACCGAAATTGCAATTTTACCCCCAAGTACCGAGACTCAAGCTCGCTCTCTCAACATCGAGACTCAAGCTCGCTCTCTCAACATCGAGACTCAAGCTCGCTCTCCCAACATCGAGACTCAAGCTCACTCTCCCAACATCGAGACCCAAGCTCGCTCTCCCAATATCGAGACCCAAGCTCGCTCTCCCAATATCGAGACTCAAGCTCGCTCTCCCAATATCGAGACTCAAGCTCGCTCTCCCAATATCGAGACTCAAGCTCGCTCTCCCAACATCGAGATTCAAGCTCGCTCTGCCAACATCGAGATTCAAGCTCGCTCTGCCAATATCGAGACCCAAGCTCGCTCTGCCAACATCGAGATTCAAGCTCGCTCTGCCAACATCGAGACCCAAGCTCGCTCTCCCAATATCGAGACCCAAGCTCGCTCTCCCAATATCGAGACTCAAGCTCGCTCTCCCAATATCGAGACTCAAGCTCGCTCTCCCAATATCGAGACTCAAGCTCGCTCTCCCAACATCGAGATTCAAGCTCGCTCTGCCAACATCGAGATTCAAGCTCACTCTCCCAACATCGAGATTCAAGCTCACTCTCCCAACATCGAGACTCAAGCTCACTCTCCCACACCAAACAAGATGTTGCTCCCTCTCAAGAAAGATTTCATGCAGATGCTGCAGCCTGCCACACCCAGTGCGCTATTGGCACTCACTGATGGCTGCAGCATCTGCATGAATACCGAGGACACCGACGTCCTCACTCTCAACTGCGACGGCAGACACTCGTTCTGCAGAGGGTGCGTGAGCACGTGGTTCCAAGACTCGACGAGCTGTCCACTGTGTCGCCAAGTCCTCTATTGCAAGGTGGAGAAGAAGGACAAGGCGTTGATCGCCGTACTCAAGAGAGACATGCTCGCAGGCAAAACGCCAAACACCATTTGCCCGGTACTGGTCCACCACGCCACCACGACATACGAGCTGTTCCAACGCTCCTGGGCACACTCTGTCGAGAAATGTAGACAGAATCTGGACGGCCTCCTCACCATCGGAGCAGAAAACATGGGAATGGCCGCCTTCGTTTTCGCTTTCGCCATTTTCACAGACATCGACTGGGACTTCCCCGATACCACTCGCACACAATGGGCCGCGATCACGTCCAAGGTCTTTCAAGCCCTGTGCAGGCTGCACGGACAAACCATGTCAGGTGCAGTACTTTGGGGCATGTTGTGGCTGGAAGCCGACGAAATCATGTCATCGTTCGAAAACAGGGAGACGTATTACTACGTCATTGTCGGGATGATAGACTTCGTCTTGTACTATGCGCTGATTGACTGCCGCGCTGAAGAAGGGGCCAAGGCCGATCTGGAGTTGGCAAAGCTCGCCAGATACTGGAAGTGGATCCACGAGGACAAGGCAGACTCGACAGAGTTGGATGGACCCTTGATTTGATGATGGATTGATTATGTACCACTCGCGCCATCGCGCCACTGAAGATGGTCCTCAATGTCCAGGGCATGCGTGCAGTTGGCGGGAATGGAGTGTGCAACTTGACTGGCAGGTAGCTTTAGAGAAATAGCCGTGTACATGGAAATTGCTGCGTTTAGTCAATCAGGGCGCGAGATCACATCTACCATTCCGTCTTGGTCGTGGTGGGCCGGTACTCTGTCGGCCCTTGGAGTAGTCACTGTCCAGAAACCGCATTCGCTTCGCTTCATATCAGTATCAACTCGCTCCATCGACATCATTGCCCTCTCCCACTCGGACAATGTCCTTCACTCCGCCCATTCTCTTTGCAAACATCCTCACGAACCCAGCTCCCACCTCTTCCACGCCGCCTGCCACATTTACGCCCTGCAAAAGCAGAGAAGTCGTCCTCTTCCCCTCCAATCCGCATCCCACAATCCTCTCGAACCATCCCATGTCTGTGTCGACGTTCAAACCCACTCCATGACTGGTCACATTCCGCCGCAAATGCACACCCACTGCACAAATCTTATGCATATCGTCCACCCACACTCCCGGATGCTCCGTCGTGCAGGTTTCCACGCCGAATGACCGGCAGACATCCATGACGGAGTTCTCGAGGAGCCGAACGTAGCAGCGAGGAGTAATGTGGTGTCGCTTCAGGTCGATGATGGGATATGCGATGAGTTGACCCGGGCCATGGAAGGTGGTTTGCCCACCGCGGAGGGCTTCAACGAAGTCTGCTCTGCCAAGAGGAGTCTGCTCCGTCAAGTACTCCCTCTGGGCAGGAGAAACGGTGCCAATCTCGCGACGGCCGCACGTGTAGACGGGGTGGAACTGGGCGGTGATGATGGTTGGCGGAGGTGGTGCGGGCAGCGTGTGAGGCGATGCTTTGTGGGCGAGGAGGGAGGTGACGAGGCGGTGTTGCAGGGCGGCGGCGTGAGAGTAGGATGTGCAGGCGGGGAGGTGGATATGTCGGAGAATCATCTCTCCTCTCCTCTCCCGACCTCATCGGCGTCAAGGTCCATCACCGTCAATGGCACTCAATGGTGATGGTCCCGAGTGGAGGTGTGAACTGTGAAGCGCATCTCGGACCGCTTCGGACCGAAACTCCCGTCATCTTCAATTCTCCACCACCGATATACATTCATCGTCCTTGTACCTCCTATATTCCATCAACTTGAACCATGTCGAGGCTCATTTCTGTACACCCGGATGACAGCCAAGAAAAAGCCGTGGAAAACTGACATCCAAGGTCATCTCTTCTCGCAGGTCGTAATCACCATCGACATCATCATCATCATCACTGTACACCACGAAGAAACTCGGGGGCTTCATCTCCGTGGCTCACATATCGCCAGCTGAGCATCCTCCATGGGGCAGTATCTACGACTGATTATGATCGACCCGATGATCTGGTGTCGATTCTAGGTTGATCTTGGTCTTCATCCAGTCGTTGTGCTCGGCACGACTCCGACCGAGATCCGCCTCGGATTCGTGGAGAAACTGGGCATAAGATGACAATGCCTTCACGAGAACCAGTAGCCCTGTTGAGGAGAAGGCGGAGGCGTCTCCACTCCAAGAGCACATCTCTCGACAAACATGCGCGACGGTCAAGCTGAAAAGGCTCAACCTGCGAGCATAACTGGGACGACATGGCTGCCCGGCCTGCGTCCCTGGCCTCTACACGCCAAGATGGTCTTGCTTTTCACATTGACTTTCTGCGCACTCAGCACTGCGGTTTTGTCGCATCCTCATGCCCACAAGCCTCATCCCCTTGTCCTGAAGATTCCAAGAACTGCGGATGGTGCTTCTATACCGCATTCGCCAGACTATTCGTCCTTCAGCTTCGAGCCGGCCTTCTGGGTCGAGTTCTTTGGAAATGCAACTCGTCCGAATCAGTTTACTTTCAAAGCTCTCTCCACCCTCCACGCTCATGGTGGGCGACCGGCCATCCGTCCGGGCGGAATTACAATGGACTCGATGATATACAACGAGTCGGCTGGCGATCCAGTCCGGACAACCAACGAGAATGGGGGTGTCTACCGCACGACGGTTGGACCAGCCTACTATGAAAGCTGGGCCAACTTCCCAAACGGAACCGAGTTCATATCCACCCTCAACTTCGGCAACAACAGTCTAGATATCGCACGAGACATGGCGCTTGCTTCCATCACGTACCAGCCAGATCTCATCAAAGCGTTTGAGCTGGGGAACGAGCCAACGAACTATGATGCCGAACGCTGGGCAAACAGCACAGACGAATACGTCGCGCAATGGAAACAGTGGACTTCAGCAATCGATCAGGCTGTGAATGGTCGAGCAGCGACCGCAGTCGGCAGTCAGTGGGGCACGGACAGATGGTGGGCGTCTTCTGCAACCACAGACGAGACTCCCCTTCACGTCCGCCCTGCCGATATCATTCCCGCCGGAATTGATTCTCAACAGCAAGTCTCAGACTACTCCATCCACTCGTATGCATTCGCCACTTGTGATCCCGAACGTGCAGCACTAGCCACCATTCCCAACATCCTCAACCACACTCACCTCGTCGAATACGCCGATACCGAAATCCTCCCCTCGGCCAAGGCAGCCTTAGACTCTGGCCGACCGTGGATTATCGGAGAGTTCAACAGTATTGCCTGTTCTGGCGCCCCGAACGTCTCCGACACCTTCGCGCAAGCCTTATGGGAAGTGGATACCGAGCTCATCTACGCCGTCCGCAACGCTTCTGCTTGCTACTTACATCAAGGTGCTACTCTGGTGTTCCAAAGCGATCAGCAAAGCAACACTCCTGACGAAGATGGAAAGCCTGGCTTTTCGACGTATAGTATGCTGTATCCGGTGGAGACGGCCAAGCGCGGTCCGCAACGTACTTTACCGGGTTTCGCTGGCTTGCTCTTTCTCGCTGAAGTCTTTGCTGGTAATGCGACGAGGGTACGAGCGCTCGAGACGCCGAGAGATCTGGACAACGAGCATTTTTCTGCTTATGCTTTCTACGACGCCGACGAGCTCAGTAAACTTGTTCTGATCAATATGAAGCCCTACTATGCCAATTCCACTGACGACTATACCGTGGAGTTTGATATATTTGCGAGTCAGAAGCGCTTTGCTTTTAGACAATCGAATGGGATGCGACAGCGAAAACCAGTATATCTCAAAAGATTGACTGCACCGACAGTGGACGAGAAACGCACGGAGCGAGTCACTTGGGCCGGTCAATCGTTCAAGACCGCCAGTCCCGAAGGCGATGTGCACATTGAGCGAGTGGATGCTGACGGAATTGTGAAAGTACGAGGTAGCGAGGCTGTACTCGTTCTCTTTGACGAGACCCAAGTATGCGACTTGTCCCGGACCGTGTGAATTCCATTGGTGAGAATGGTGAGTGGCTCGCGGGAAGGTGAGTGATAGGGGCGGCTGCAAGCATATATCTTGCCAACTCTCGTCATACTATTCGCAGACTACAGATTCAGCCTCTTTCCCAAACTCCTTCTACTTGCTGTGTAGGTATATCGTTCATCGCAATACACAGGGAACCTGGCCTCCTCGCTTCCCTCTCACATCATCCATCTCTCCATCTGTCTATCCATTGCTAACTCCAGTCACGCCATCGACCCAGCGCTCTCTACACCGAAATTGGGAACTCTGGCTGTTTTCGAGCGTCATCTACACGCATAAGCACCGCCCAAGTCGACCGCGCACGATATGTTGGACGTCGAGCTGTTCAAGGACCGTCGGCAAGACGTGAAATCTCACTGTATGGATACGTCGTCCTTCATAGTAGAATGCGACTGAAATACATTTCGACCTCTCTCACCGAACTCTCCGAAAGTGACAGCATAGTGCCAATCCAGCCATCTGGTCGAACGAGTACAACGCAGCCTGCTCCTACATCGACGCCATACCTCTTGTACGCCACACCTTCATGGGTGTCGAAGAATGCACGACCAAGCGGCTCTCGTCCCAGGACCTCATAAGCCGAGGAGGCTGGCTGTGGTAATACTGTCAAGCACTTCAAGAGACCTGTCCAATTGTTAGCAAGTACGCTTTGGGCATGAGAATCCGCCCACTTGCCTCGCGATTGGATACCGCTCAGATATGTGGAGGTGTCGAATGCATCAGCAAACGCCGTTGCTTCCGTCAAGAGAGGATTTCCAGCAAAAAGCACCAGGTAGAAGCTACTTCTATTCGGCGTCTCTGATATGAGTCTCGTTGACTCGAATGTGCCCGGCTTCAGGAGTGTCACGTCTGGCGCTCGTCGACCCGGTCCTACTGGCTGCTGCACGTCTACGACTTGCTGTGAACTGGTAAAGCTGCCTGGGACACTGAGAAGGCTCGTCTCTGCCAGCTCATAGAAGATACCCAATCCGGAGCTGAACGAGCCTGCCTCTCCCATGACTTGGCCCAGGATCGCATTGACATCTGCCTCTGGATCTCCCTGCCAGTCTTCCGGCAGTCGATTTGTCATGAGACGACTGATGTCTCTGTCATACTGGATCAGTCTCTCAACATTCGGCATTCGCTCTGCTTGGTATGTCTGGAGGATGTCGGTGCGGGCCAGTCGTCTCAGTACCAGACTCAGCTTCCACGCCAAGTTCACGCTATCGTGGATGCCAGTATTCATGCCCTGAGCAGCGCCCGAGGAGTGTGTATGGCATGCATCTCCCGCCAAGAAGATGCAGTCCTTCTTCTCGAATGTTTCGGCAATGCGCTGACCGACGGAATAGATGGTCCACCAATCGACAGTCAGGAATGTCACGTCAAAGGGCTTGACAGCAGCGATGGCCTCCTTGACAGCGGCAGCTTCATCAAACACCTTGTACGCTTTCTCGCGATCTTGGGTGAAAGCGTATCCGATCCTCGTCCGCCCGCGGTCCAGACCAACCCAGAGAACATTTCCATGCGTGGGCGACTCAATGGCACAGTATGTGCGCGGTCTCGGAACGTTGGTCTCCACTAACCCATCGACCCTCACCCACTTGTCTGCCGTCGTCAGGCCACGAAAGGGTATGTCTATCAATCGACGGACAGACGAATGGCCACCATCACACCCAATCACGAACTTGCATTTGATCGTTTTCCTTTCGCTTGTCAACTCATCGTGTACTGTAGCTGTCACTCGATGCTGGAGTAGCGGTATACTCTCATCCACCACAATCCCATCCAGCCTGACTGGCGCCTCCACTTCCACACCATACTCTCTCAGCGCTCTGCGAAATACATCTTCCTGATACTTCTGCCTCAACACCAACGCGAAATTCCACGCCGTATCGCTCATTCCCGTTTCCATAAAACTCCAACCACGGCCGTGCACTTCCTCGCCGTGGGAGTTATATGTTGCCGTTTCCCGACAGGCGAAACATTGCTGCGCGAGTTCTTCTGCCAAGCCGAGTTGATCCAGCATCTCACTCGAGCGAGGATACAGCGTGATGGCTCGTCCATAGGCATCCTGAATGGATTTGGAGTTTTTTTCGATTATCGCGACGGAAATTCCACCGAATTTGGCTAATTGGAAAGCAGTTATGAGACCCACGGGACCGGCCCCGACGATGAGGACATCGACTTGTCTGGGATCCGTGGTCATGGTTGTTTGGGAGGTGGACACGGAGAGTTTCTTGGAAGTCGAGTGTTGGACGAATAAACGCAACAGATGCTTTCCTTGGAGCTTTGGGGGAGCTACCTTACCTTACCTTACCGTATCGCTACCTGATAAGACGATAGGCGAAGGTACATTAGCTCGTAGGTAGGTAGCTACATGACCGACCTCACCAACATCCCGCATCCATGTGGTTGTAACAACTATACCGCTTTGTTGCAGCATCCACACCCACACACATTCTTCCCGACTGCATACCTATCCGATCATTCTCAACATGGCGAGTGAAGTATATGACCTGGTCATCACGAACGGAATCGTCGTCACCGCAGACGAGATCCGAGAAGTGGATGTGGCTATTACCGGCGAGACCATCGCAGCAATCAAAGAACGTGGTGCTTTTCGGGAAGCCCAAGTCGCCAAGTTCATTGATGCCAAAGGAGGATGGGTCATGCCAGGCGGTATAGTGAGTCAACCTACCTTATTCTTCCCGCCTGACAATACCGTGCTCACTCTGACATTTCCATTCGCAGGACGCTCATGTGCGTGAAGATGACATGAACTGTTCATCCAGGAATCAAATCTGACCAGACGATCGGGTATTGTTGTAGGTACATTTGCAAGAACCGCAGCTGTTCGGTAAAGGTCGCAGTGTCGACACCTTCGAAACCGGCACCAGATCTGCCATCTGCGGCGGGACTACAACTGTCATTGGTATAGATCACCATCACTCGAGACACTGTTCTCATCTAATGCTTCTCCTCTTCTCCTCTTCTAGCCTTCGCCCCACAAGCCCGATCGGAAGAAAGTGTCCTCCCGACGCTCGAAGCCACTCACTCCAAAGCCGCCGGAAGCGCGTATGCCGACTACTCCTTCCACATCATCCTCAGTAACCCTTCTCCACTCGCCCTCTCCGAGTTCCCACTCCTCCGCGAGGCCGGAATCTCCAGTCTGAAAATCTACATGACTTACGAAGTGCTCCAACTCAACGACACGCAGATCCTCGATGTCCTGTTCGAAGCGCGCAAACACCACCTCACGACGATGATTCACGCGGAAAACAACGATGTGATTCTGTGGATGACCAAGAAACTCGAAGAGAGGAAGCTCTTCGCGCCCAAATACCACGCTACGTCCCATCCTGCTCTCGCTGAAGTCGAAGCGACATATCGTGCTATTTGTCTGTCGGAATTCATCGATGCGCCCATCTTGCTCGTGCACATTTCCTCTCCCGTCGCCGCGGACCATGCGAGAGTTGCGCAAGGGAGAGGCTTACCCGTGTTTGCCGAGACGTGTCCCCAATATGTGCTGTTGACGAAACATGATCTGGACAAGCCGGGTTTCGAGGGTGCCATGTGTGTATGCAGTCCTCCTCCACGAGAGAGCGAGGCAGATCACGAAGGGATTTGGAAAGGGTTGGTCGATGGGACGTTTACCGTGTTGAGTTCGGATCATTGTCCGTTTTTGTACGATGATGCAGAGACGGGGAAGAAGACGTGTATCAGTGCAGAGTTTCCCGAGGGCAAGTTCAAGTATATCCCGAATGGAATTCCGGGAATTGAGACCCGGCTGCCGTTGACCTTGAGTGCGGAACGACTGGATGTGAGGAAGTTTGTCGAAGTCACGAGCACGAATGTGGCGAAATTGTATGGGCTGTATCCTAGAAAAGGCGAGATTGCCGTAGGGAGCGATGCCGATATAGTGATTTGGAACCCGGAATCAGAGGCGACGTCGTTTACACTCAGCAACAAAATGCTGCATCACGCGTGTGATTACACGCCGTACGAGGGAAAGGTATGTTGCAGGTATTGATTTCTGGAAACCAAGACGAGACGAGGAGAACATGAACAACAAGTGAGAAGAAGTCGCTGATTTGGTGTACACAGACGCTCAAATATTGGCCCGTCTATACCATTCTGCGAGGCCAGGTCATGTGGGATCAAGGCGCAGGCGGTCTGATCGGAAAGAAAGGCCAGGGTCAGTTTCTGCGTCGGGGAACGAGTGCTTTGCAGGGCAGTCGGAGTGAGGCCGAGTGGGATGTCACTTTTTGATCATTCTTTTCCTCTCCGTAAGAAAGATCCATGATGGAGTAGCATACTCCTGTTACTCCTATCGAAGGGATCAAGTCGAAGTGAACGACTATTCTTTCCAACAGTTTCTGAGAGGGATCCGTAGCGGAAATATTGGGATCCTTTCAGATACCTCGTTTTGGACTTGATCAGATATTCGTATTGAAGACGAGGTTGTTGAAAGAGGAATAAAAATGAAAACAAATAAACAGGTATATAAACCTCGGCACATCTATGTGCGGGCCCCCCGGGGATGTTGATAGGCTTAAGTCCGTCCGATCCGATAAGCAAGTCGATCGTGCATCACCTCACACGACCAACATCACTTCCACCTTCCACCTTCACTTGGGCTTGCATTGATTCCCTCTGTCTGCTGGTATCCTCCCGAGGTACCTGGTATTTTCTCAATCAAGCACCGCCAGAAAATGTCCACCACCCGAGACGCCTTCTCTCCAACAGGATCGTGGGAAACACAGTCGGAGGATATAGATGACGACATGGACTATGAGGTGAGTGAGGTTGCATTCCATCACCATCACAATCCCACGATGAAACTGGAGAGGGGAGAAGAGGAAGAGAAAGAAAAACAACTCGCTGACGAAGGAAATGGAACGAGATGCAGCTCGCCAACGACGAAGTGACTCCAGCGGCAGAAGATGGGACTGCGGTCGAAGAGGAGGAGGAGGAGGGACCGACACTCTACTTCGATGCGGAGGAGGGCACGTTACGGAACGAAGACGGCGAGGAAGTCACCTTTGAGGTCGATGATGGGGAAGAGGAGGAAGAAGAAGATGATGATGATGAAGGAGGGGCAGAAGAAGGAGCAGAAGCAGCGGAAGACGAGGAAGAAGGACAGGAGGCCTCGGCACCACAGCCAGCACACACGACAACAGATCATCCCGGCAGGACTGGCACACGCACTATCAACATGACCCAAGCACAACTTCTCCAACTGCTTAGTCATGCCGGACTACGAGGCATTTTCCAGAATGGCATCACCACTCGCTCGCACGGCCGAGCGAGGCATGTCGCTCTAGACGATGATGACGACGAAGAGGAGGACGAGGACGACGAGGACTACCTCGACGAAACAGAAGACCCACGTCAGCGACTCCGCCGGAGACAGTTTGTCGGCGACCGTTATCCTCCCATCCCCTCTGAGACGGGCGCCAAACTGATGCAGAGCGGCAACTTTGGCCACAATGACCGCTGTCGGCATACTGCTTGCGGAGTCCCCCTATCTGCAGCTACGCAACGCCAGAAGCGGAAGCTCTCCTACCGCATGCTGCATCGCGAGCTTGGCTTGGAGAGTCGTGGAAGGAACAACGTCTACTCCCGCCTGGCATCTCAATCGCTCATTCCGGGAAATAAAGCAGATCTCATTGTCAATCTGAACGCTCGCTGCTATTCGGGACAGTTCTCCGAAGATGGCAGCTTCTTCTTCGCCTGTGGCCAGGATTTCCAAGTGCGAATGTACGATACGAGTAATCCGTACGATTGGAAGTATTACAAGACGGTGCATTACTACGGTGGCCAGTGGACCATCACCGACGCATCGCTCTCACCGGACAACAAACTGCTCGCCTACAGTTCGATTCGGAGTCAGATCTGTCTGGCTCGCACGGATAAAGCTGATCAAGGCGAGCCGCAAATGCTCGACTTTAGCGATATGGGCGGCGGGAATCGAGGCGGCCGTAACGATGCCGGCTGGGGAAGAAGTCGAGGTCACTTTGGAATCTGGTCATTGCGCTTCAGTGGCGACGGTTCGGAGATTGTCGCTGGAACCTCGGACCAGAGTGTTTACGTCTACGATCTGGAGTCGCAACGATCCATTCTTCGCATTCCCGGCCATCAAGACGATGTCAATGCCGTGTGTTTTGGTGACAGAATGTCTCCTCACATCCTGTACTCTGGTTCCGATGATACAACACTAAAAGTCTGGGATCGGAGAAGTTTGGCGAGTATGCGTCCTGCGGGTATGTTTCTAGGACATACCGAAGGCCTCACATATATCGATTCCAAGGGAGATGGGAGATATGTGATTTCGAACGCCAAAGATCAAACGTGCAAGTTGTGGGACTTGCGAAAGATGATTTCTACCGACCAAGGGGAGCGCATCAATCCTCAAGTACGTATGATCTTCTCATCTCATTTCCGCATGCTAATGTTCCGATAGGAATTCACCACACACTTTGACTACCGCTTCTCGCCGTACAGCACCTCCACTCACACGCCCCATCCACACGACTGCAGTCTCGTCACCTTCCGCGGGCATCGCGTATTGAAGACTCTGATTCGCTGTCACTTCAGTCCTGCGACCTCCACGGATTCCCGATATATTTATTCCGGATCCCACGATGGAAAGATCTACATTTGGAACCTCGACGGCACAGAAGCTGGCACCATCAATGTCTTGCAAGCGACCAAGGGCAGCCGACCTCTGTCGGATGAGAGGTTCGTCGATCGCTACGACTACTATGGACGGGGTGGTGTATGGAAGACCATTGTCCGAGACGCCAGTTGGCATCCCAGTGCTCCCGTCATCGCAGCCACATCTTGGAATGGCTGGGACCATGGGCTGGGCACGTGTACGGTACATTCCTGGAACGATGGCGTTTCCACCGACGAAAACGAGGGTGAAGATGAAGCCGAAGAATTGAAGACTGGAGAGGCGTATGAGCGGGCAGAGACGCTGGGAAATGCTCCCATGGGTGCAAGAGTGACGGCCCACCTGCAGCATGACCAGAGGTTTTATGATAGTCCTCCTCCCGCCCGAGCTGCGCAGGCGAGGAGAAGCACGAGACTGAGGGATCGCATGGGTCTGGGCGCCCTTTTTGGAGGGGCGGATGTTGATGATGAATGAAGAGGACTTTCCTGACGTACACCTAATCCCTCCCTTGAAAGGAGGGGAAAATGACCCGAGGCAAGCAAAAAAAAGAAGCAAACAGACCCGGCAGGCCAGGTTCTCTATTCATCTTACCCATGTACCATACTTGATGAATTTTGATCTTTTGACGAATCGACATGAACGGCGTTGAAAACTATAGTCGTTGCCCTGCATCCAGCCTTCAAGCTAACGACCAAGTGCAGCCATCACCTAGTCGCCGTCAATATGGGATGTATATGATGGTTAGCTACTGGAGAAGATGAAGTCTGTCGTCTTCAGCCCTGGCTAACTCTCCGGGATAGACAGGTCTGGTATAGAACATTTCCCAAGCCTCATCAATCCGGTAGAGGACACGTATTTCGGGTTCGATCGAGGTCATTACTATATATGACTTGCTGCTCTACAACTACCATTCTCGTGCAGCTCAATCGCTGTACATACTCGATAATCAGAATGACCAATCTGCCGAATGGCTAGGACTCTGATGATAGCATGGTCATAATAACTCTCCTACTATTGGCCCAACAATGGGAAACATCAATTCTAGAGAAACCTACCGTCCTACTATCGATGACTCCCTCTTCCATCACTGAAGTCTAGGATAGCGCAGAGTTCGCCGGACCCAGATGGAAAGCATTCCAGCTGATGACACTTTTGCTCGTCTACCAATCACGAAGGATAGGGAAGAGATTCCCTTCCCTCAACGTACCGGCCGGCTGTGCTCGAATGTTGTTCTGATCTATCGTGCGCCGTGGTACCTTTTCCAATATGGCGGAGGAGTCCGGAAGGAATCCAGCTTGTTGCTACAAGAAAAGTTCTCTTTTCTGTTCGACCTTTACTTGACTTTACCTTACTGAATGATTGATGAAAATTCCAAACCACAAGTAGAGGAATCCGTACGGCATAGGATCCATCACCAGGCGTAATTCGCATCTCGGAAAAAAAAAGAAAGAAAAAAAAAAGAAAATGCGTTATTGTAACATATGGGCCTCGATACACCGTACATACCACACCTGGATCAAAACCTCACGCCCCTTTCGCTCTTCCACACCCTACATCATCTTCGTCATTGCCTTTAGCGCCTACACCGACCAATTCCTCTACGCAGCAATCGTCCCCGTAACACCTTTTGCCCTCCAACAATCCCAAGAAGCAGGAGGAGGACATATCGCCTCCCACTCCCAAATCCAATCCTGGACAACAATTCTCCTCGCTGTATTCGGCGCCGGATGTTTCCTCGCCTCACCTCCCTGGGCATGGTTTACAGACCATGCAACGACTCGTCGCAGGCCGTTTTTGCTCGGATTGCTTGTCTTGTGGGCTGCTACGATCTTGTTGTGGTTTGCGCCGAATTTTGCGACGCAGGTGGCCGGAAGACTTGCGCAGGGCTTGTCTTCGGCTGTGGTGTGGACTACGGGGTTTGCGGTTTTGGCGGATACGGTTGATTCGGGGAGCTTGGGTGAGGTGAGTTTTTTCAGCGCGAAGTTTTTGGGATTTTGTTGTGGTGAGAATGAGCATGATGGTCTGACATGAGAGAGGTAGGCAGCTGGTTATGTCAACCTGGCAATCGATGGCGCTTCGATGATGGCGCCCGTCTTGGGTGGTGTTGTCTTTAAGCATTGTGGATATAATGCCGTCTTTGGCCTCATTCTCGCTGTCCTGGGCGTAGACACGATTTGTCGTGTGGCCATGGTCGAGCCACCACGTCAGCGACATGAAGAAGAAGGAGAAGAAGAAGGAGAAGAAGAAGAAGAAGAAGAAGAAGAAGAAGAAGAAGAAGAAGAAGACTCTGCAGTCATTCCGAAAGGAGAGGTCAGTGAGACGACGAGCTTGGATCTGAAATCGTCGCTGCATATTGAAAATGTCAATCACGCCAGTGGTGCAGAGTCGCATCGTACGAAAGCTCACCTACCGGCGATGATCCGACTCCTCTTCTCCGTACGATTCGTAGCAGCTCTCTGGGGTGTACTGACTCTCGCCGTCGTCTTCTCGGGTTTGGAAGCCATCATTCCCACTACTGTCCACACACGTTTCGGCTGGGACTCGGAAGGATCTGGACTACTTTTCCTCCCCCTTTCGCTACCGGCCATGGCAGGGCCTGTACTCGGCAAGATGACCGATACTTATGGCGGCCGTTGGTTTCTCGCAGGCTCCTTTGTAGTGCTCTGTCCGGCCCTCGTGCTGCTGAGACTGGTGACGGAAGATCGCGTCGATCACAAGGTGCTTCTCTGCTTTTTACTGTTTGCTGTCGGGTGCTGTATGGCCATTATCCCTCAGCCGTTGTTCAGTGAAGTCGCACATCGATCTAGAGAACTTTCACGACAAGACAAGGAAGCTGGTAGAGGTAGCAGGAAAACCCGCAGTGGAGGATACTATGGCCAGGCATATGGGTATTATAATATGGCATGGTCTCTAGGGAACACGCTCGGGCCGCTCCTATGCGGGTTCACCGTCGAAGCCAGTGGATGGAAAACGGCCACTTTGGCCCTAGGGGTGCTGTCGGGTGTTACGGCTCTTCCTGTTGTGCTGTGTTGTGAAGGTTGGTGGTTTGATCGGAGACGCGAGGGACCGACACGGAAACACTCGGGTAATAGATGATGGAGTGGTTGATACCAGCAATTTGGCGTTGTCGATTCTGATGAAGTGGCCGTCGTCATGTGAGCATTCAAACTAAGACCATTCAAACTAAGACCACTTCCTTGAATGAGTGCAGCCTTGATCGACGGACGGTGAAAGAGTGCTTGCTTCGTGATAGTAACCAGAGGCTTTCAAGACTTCCTACTTGTCGTCGCTCGATTGATAGAAGTAGGTATCGAATCAATCGCAAGACTGTAGGGCAAGCCAAGTTCAAACAAGCTCTAGGCAGAGAGGTGGTAGGCAATCCTGCTCGTTTACGTGCGGAACTGTCTGCTACCGGGGTATATCACGGGAAGAGAATAAGGATATAAGCCGCAAGCACTATTGAAGAGGCTGTCTTGTGCTTCACCTAGTCCCCGGTAGTAATCGTGGTGTCTTGAGGCATCCCAGCTATACCGCTTCCTCCGCTATTCATTCATTCCATCTTCACTTTCAATCCTTCCCGGGTGCGTATCTCCCGGCGGCGGGAGCTTGGCCTCGCGATTCTTGGCCCAATTGTGAATGACATTGAAATTCCGACATTGCTTGGTCACTGCGAAATTGGCGTTGAATGCTTTTTGCTTGTCGTTCCACCCGACACTCATTACACTGACGTCGGCGTGGCAGAGCAATGTCTGCCATAGGTAGTCGAAACAATGCTTGTCATGGGATGTGTTAAGGTGTTCTGAGTCGGTGCTGTCGTCGTGGACGGTCAGGTTGTAGAACTTCTTACGGATGCGGTTCTAGTTGGGCACGGAGTAGCGCTGTTAGTGATCTATCGCGAAGAGCGACACGAGGGATTCTTACCAAACAGTGAAGTTGATGAAAGACTTCGAGCACCCCTGCATATCCTTCTTCACCACCATATAGAGGTGCTGTTTCGGACGGCAATCGTGCGGCTTCCTCTAGACTGATGCGAATTTCGCCCACGTCAAGCACACGACCCCAATCCGCAGACGTCGTAGGGCTGACGGGTTCAAAGGAGTCTGTTACAGCGTCCTTGGCAATATCGACAGTGCTGTTAAAGGTTCGCTGTTCCCAAACGATTGGTGGGTTGAGAAGAGTGTCTGCCTCGCTGCATCAGCATACATGCTTACTCTACCAGAAGGATAAGGTGAGGTTCGGTGCCTTACCGTCGAAGCAGTCTATCCGCTGACCTTGGTTCACAAGACCGGTCGTGGTCGCAAGAAGGTAGAGGCAGATTGCTGTTATAAGCATCAACAGTACGTTGGCAAAGAGCAATACCAGCAATACTGTGCTGCACTGGCGCCGTAGCGATCCATGTCTGCTCGAACGTAACGTCTCTGGAAAACTGGGTACCAGAGGCTTGCCTTCTTCATCAGAGCTTTCGAAATCCATCTTGCTGTCAAGAATCTTGGGCGAGGGAAGGAATATTCACAGAAGACAGTCCAGCGTGAGGCGTGTCTATGACACTTTTGTTTCCGGGACTGTTGCACCGCATACTAGCCGGAATATCCGCGATGGGTGTTTGTTTTCAGCTGAGAACGCCAGGCCACCAGCTGCACGACCAACTATAATGCTTCGAGACTGTGCAACGTCGGTGCGAATACCAATCCTTGCTCGGTCAGCGTTCAGTATCGCAATACCCGCTTTTCGACTGGTCGACCATGGCATTTGCAATACGACGTCGCATCCACCGTCTCCAATATAGTAGGATGCAGCGGTGTCGATACTACACGGTCGATGTAAGTGACGAGGCCTCCTCAAAATCAGTCAGCATTCTATGATTAGGATACCTGGATGACCGAAATTCCATCAGCTGTGCTGTATAAAGGCCGCGCGGTGCTCCCTCTAGGAGGACTGTCTTCTTTCTGACCTAGCATTACTCGTCGATCCAGAAACCAAACAAGCACATTCCCGACGTTTTCCAACCTCTACCGCAAGATCAGCTATCGAATATGAAGCTCACCCAGTCTATCCTCCTCGCAGCAGCGAGCTTCAATCTTGCCATTGGCGCTCCAATCAAGGAGAATCCATCTCGCGCCATTGTTGCCAAAGATGTCATTCGAAAGGCAATTGACAACAATCCATATATCCTCGACAATCTCGACCAATCTGTCGCGGCTGAGGGCAATGCCACTCCAGTCAGACTCCGCAGCTTGATCGACTTACTCAAAAGGTCCAATCGCAAGCGCTACCAGTACAAAGACACCCCTCGTCGCCGAAGTGTAGACAAGCGATACGAGTACGGAGATACTCCTGCTCTCCAGAGCGTGGAGGATCTGTCCAAGCGATACGAGTATGGAGATACTCCTGCTCTCCAAAGCGTGGAAGATCTGTCCAAGCGCTATCAGTACAAAGACACCCCTCGTCGCCGAAGTGTAGACAAGCGATACGAGTATGGAGATACTCCTGCTCTCCAGAGCGTAGAGGATCTGTCCAAGCGATACGAGTATGGAGACACCCCTGCTCTCCGGAGTGTAGAAGACCTGAGCGAGCGCTAGTATCCTTATGTCAACACTCCTAGATTGAACGGTGCGGCAGTGAAGAATCTGTCGAGAGGTAGAACACGGCTCGAGCTGGCAAGACGACCATTTCTTCTTGTTATAGCGACAGCGGACTTTTGCTTTCACATTTTCATAGGCAGGGAGAAGGTGCTGTTTGGAAGTCACAATCGCAAGGAGTAGTTCGGTACACACAGCGTGCCTTGGTGCACTTGCTCACATTCTTTTGATACTACAAGTGATTAGTTAGGTAGACAATTGAAGCAGCGCAGTCTCGTATTGGACGTCTGCTTGTTCTAGCTTCGTCCTCCCTAAGCCGGGTGTCTTCAAACACTCTGGATCAATCTGGAAGCTAACGTCCTACCTGTAATGTCGTGATTCTCTTCAAAAGATATGTGTTGAAGAGGCCGATCAGTGGTATCACAGTCTATTGACTCGCGTCTTGGATGTTTTGCAGGCTGCTTGTAACATCTCACAACAGCGATAAAGAGTCGGCCGTGCCGGCGGGCGTTCTCGTCTTCTAATGAAGTCAAAAATGCGATGCTCCAGGTGCTCCGCTTGTACAAAGACCCGGCGTTTGGGCGTCGAGAAGATAGATCTGATATCGTGATGATGAGAGGATGATGAAAACCTTTGCCAAGGAGGTGGAATCCAGAATAGTGCTAGATGTGGGGCTATACCAACGGCACGTTCTTTTCGATTCTACACTTTTCTATGCAACATCTGGACTAGTCAACGAATCTACACAGAGATGTAAAGGATAAAGTCGCTCATGTCACGGCCATACAACCTCCTTGTGACATCCATTGTCACTGTTCTCGCCATCTTCATCGGCCTCCAATTCCAATCGCCCGACAGTCTCCTTATGCGGTTCATCACTCCATACAGCGCGTCGATTCTGCCCCAAGCACGCCGAGCTTTCGCGCCAATCGCCTCGACATTCAGCACATTCCCGCCGACCATGTCATCGTCAACCAGCAACCGCGACGCAGAGAACGCTGTAGATGGCCAGCCTCTCGGTCTCCCTTCGCCGCCTAGTAAAGAGGAGGAAGCAGCAATGAAGTTGGATATGTCGAGTGGCTCCGACACGATCAAGCTCGATCATCTGGGTCCGCTAGTAGTGAACAAGGACGGCTCTCTATCGAGAATTAGCAATTGGGAGCAGATGACTGCGCAAGAGAAGAAGAGCACTTTGAAGATTCTAGGGAAGAGAAATCAGTTAAGAACGGATGCTCTCAAGGAGAGCGAAGACACAATAGTTTGAAGGGTATAGCATTCGCCTCTTGATAGGAGGCATCCTCAATCTACGTTATACGTCTCGCCTCTATCTACGTCGCGCGTCTCGCCTCTATTATCGTTATAGGTCTCGTATCTATCCTCGTCGTATATGTTGTTCTTGTTCTTATCGGGATACTATTAGTCTACTAGGCCTTAGCCTTTGCCTTCTTGTCGTAATAGGAAAGATATAATATTCTATCGAATCGGTTCGACTATATTAGTAAATGTATCTATATAGTAGTCTATTTCTTGCTCTTATATTATTAGTATAGTATTCTATATAATATGTTCTATAGATAGAAGGAATTATATATAGTATTACTATAAAGCCCTCTCTTCTACTACCGTCCTCGAGTAGACAATCGGATAGGCTCGGCTTATAGTAGGTTGCGGCGTAGCTCTACGGTAAAAGAAGTAGGATAGATAGAGGTCCGGAAGGATATATAAATACTTGTAGGTAGTAGAAAAGGTAATATTAGAAGACAAAGTATACTATAGGGTAACGGTATTAATTATAGTAGAGTAGGTATCCGTATATCTACGTCCTAATTATATCTATCCTCTCCTCTATCCTAAAAAGAAGAAAAATACTCTATATAGCTACCTACCGGGAGTAGTATACCCTTTCTAGGCCGTCCGGCTCTCGGCTCTACTCTAACGCCCTATATAAAAGAAATACGCCTAGCCGCTTAATATACCCTTCTCTACCTATATATCTGTTCTATAGATATAGGTATAACTAAACCTCCCCTCTATCTAACGATTATATATAGAAAAGCAGACCTAAACGACCCGTCGAAAACAAGATACCTAATCGCGAAAACCTAAACCCTTTCTATACTCGGAAGCTCCCGGTTAGGCCCTAGAGGCCTAACTAATATATTACCTATTCTATCTAGGATATATCGCCCTTAAGTATAGTACTAGAGCCTTCCTCTATATACTTAGAGTCGAGAGTAGAAAAATTAGGCTATAGTCGAAACTTAAAGTTACCCTTATAGCGGAAGTAACTAGCGTTCCCGAAGAGTAGTATTTTAGAATTACGAATATAGTCGAAAACCTTCTTATACCTCTTAATAGCGTTCGCCTACTATTTAAGCTTATATACCTCCTACTAAGCAAGAGATTCTATATAAGTAATATAGTTTAACTCGTTGATAACTTCTATATCGGCCTAAGATTTGCGACTAACTAGAGTATCTAAGATTAGGCTAAGGCTATCTAACTAGGCTATAGTAGGAAATCGGTATAGAATTAGACTATATATATTAGAATAGCCCGACAGGCTAGATAGTAGAGTAGTTATTGTTTAGTATACCTCTACGATCTACTAAAGGGTCCCTATTTTTAGGTTCTCTATCTCTCCGGTTTCTATATTAGTAATAGCTATAAACTAAGGGAGGATCGTACGTCGTACGCCCTACGAAGGTAGTACGCTATAAGAAATATAGGGGTCGGTAATATAGACGCTATATCGCTAGACTAGAGTTAGCTACTAATCTAGACCTATCTTCTTTCTTAGCTTAGGCCCGAGCTCCTTATCCGTAATATTATAGATCCGGCTATTCTACAAACGACCGGCGGCGCGGTTTACCTCTACCTACTTACGAAACGTCTCGTTATAGTATATTCCCTAAACAAGTATAGTATAGTCCTTATAAGTCTCGTTATCGAACGATACCGAGCCTTAGATCTAACTAGTACCTTTGCCTACCGTAAGATCTATAACGTTGTAGTCTATATACTTGAAGCTATTACGACTTATATTCTCGTTACCCTTGTCGTCGCCGTACTAGTACTTCGCGTAATAAGGATAAGACACTAAACGGTAATTACCGTCCGCGCGCAAAGAAGCGTATAAAGCCTAGTATAAGATATCCTAGCGGACGAGCTACTAAATTATACTATATATCTACGATCTGTTCTACCCTAGATTAGAGCGACTATTTATACGACGGAGGTACTATAAGTATATATCGAACTTATATTCGATATCTCCGAAGATCGTCTCGGTATACCTAAAAACCCCTTCCTTCGTAACTAAGCCGGTAAGATCGAACGTAGCCTAATCGCCGGCGTTGATTGTAAATAATCGGAGTATAGTAACTAAGGTTTCTACGTTAGGCGTAGCGGAGGGAGTAACTAGTATTCCTATATATATTCGAGACAGGAACGTATATAGACTAAGTACGTTACCTACGTACTTTAGATAGTAGGCTAGGGAGAAGAATTCTAGGTACTAATACTAGTATTCTAGAAACTAGCTATTAACGTAAGCTCTATAGACTTCGGTAATACGAGTAGTTAGTAGGGCTATAGCAATATTCGACTTAAGTCCGAACCTACGGCTCGCAAATACCCTAGTATAGTACTAGTATAACGGAACCGGGTCCTCCTCTACTATATATAGCTAGACGCCTTAGTCGACGATATCCTCTAGCTATTAATAGAGGGGTATAGCTATATATAGGCTAATAAGATATAGATTAGTCGTATCCGGGCAAAGAGTATAACAGTATATAGACAACGGCGTATATATACGAGACGTAACTTGTCCCCCCTCGGCGAGTACGTCCTCGGTTAGCTCTTTGTTAAAGGTAAACTCTCCGGTCTAGTTATCTACCTCCTTACTAGCCGTATCCTCGGTCGGCTCTATCTCTATAGTCGGGATTGCGGCCTCTAGGCCCGGCTCTATATAGCCTGTTCCGGTAAGGCTCCGGGGGCCTAACGGATTATACGTATTAATAGAGCTCTAACTAGAAGTACTATCCGGTACCTATAGTATCTCTAGCGTTAATAGTCGTAACGTATATTAGCGTTTGCTTGGAGGTTCTTTATAGTCCGGTAACGGGTCCGGCTCTCTATAGCGTCCCTAGTATAGATAGAGTTAGACTTGCTCGGACAATAGCGGTAGAGGTAGTAGTATAGATAGCCCCGAAGGTATTGGCGTAGGTTTAATAAAGCCCTTACTTACGATCTTATAAAAGTCGCCCTCGTAGACGAACCTAAATCGTATTTGTAGGATATATTATTCTATCTCCCCTCTAGGTTCCGCTAATTGCCTATCGGTAGGCAGTATACGTATATAAATACAATCGCCTTCTGTAACCTCTAGTATCTTCGATCGACTAGCAATAGGAGTAAGTAATTACTACGCTACTACTTCCGCGAGAGCGCGTAGTATTTGCCTATAGTTAGAACTAAGAGCTACTAGGCTGCCTAGATCGTAGGCCTACGAATAAGTATATAGAACCTCCTATATCGTCGGACTAGTAAGGAAGCTCTAGGCGGCAGCGACATCCCTACCGAACTATCGGTTAATAATATTCTAGTAAGCCGTCCTTCGTTAATTTCGGGCCTCCTTTCCTCGATCTACTACCTTTACAAAACCGGAGAATACGTCTACGATTGGTTTACCTTCTAGGATCTCCTAGTCCGAAGCTATAGCTACGAACTTCTTATAAATCGATATATATATAGTATCGTAACTAGTTAAGGTTACGTCGTAGAGTTAGTATACTATACGTACTACTTCCGTTCTTACTAGCGTATCGAGAGTTAGTAATAGGGCTACGACCGCGTCTAGGTCGGTTACCCTACGAAGGATACTCCTTACCTCCGCCGAGTATAATAATATATCTATCCTTACTACTATAATTAAGAACGACATCGAGCTTTATCTCCTCTCCCGAACGGTTACCTAGTATTCTAACCTATCGCCGTCGTCCGTCTCGGGTTAGGTAGGTATATTACAGTTAGCTATAGTAGAACCGATAGTTACGCGTAGGGGCGTAGTACTGCTACTAATATAGGCGTAGGTCGTAGTATAGGCGCGGAATCGATAGTTGTACGCGCGAGCGCGACTCCGTTGTTAACGTAGGCGTAGGTCGTAGTATAGGCGCGGCTCCTTTCGAGGTAGTAGAGATAGTAGTTGTATAGAATGCAGGCTAGGGAGTATAGCGGGTAAGGAGGTAGATTAAAGAAGAAGAGTAAGTTCAAAAGGAAGAAAAGGGTACTCTTATCCTCTAAATAACGCGAAAGTAACTCGCGCTTACGGAATAACGCGAAAAGTAACTCGTACTCGCAGAGTAACGCGAAAGTAACTTGCGCTCGTAGGAGTACCGGCGCGCTTACGGCAGTGCTATAGCAAACAAATAACGCGAAAAGTAACGCGCCTAGGGAAGTGCTACCCGTATAGGCGAGATAAGTAAGGATAGTATAAGAATGCCGATATAAAGATAAGTAAAATAAGTAAGGGTAGGACGAGAATACCGACGTAAAGTAGTAGTTAGGCATCGTAGGGACCCTTAGATATAAGGACCGTAGTAAGGAATATAGTATACGGTATACGCCGTAAGGGGGCGAGGACAACGCTAGAAGGTAAAGCGAAAAATAATAGATCAAAAACCTTCGGACGGATTAGAAACCTTCTAGCCTAACTATTACTAGGTACCGGGGCGCCCGGCCGGCAATATAGTTATAATCCTAGGGTAGCTAAACTCGGACGGTACTAACCCGCTACTATTAAAAGCGTAGGGCATATCCAAAACGACGCCTACGGAGGGCCTAGTTATAGATAAAGGATTAGACGGCGGCGGCGGCGGGAGGGCCTAGCTATAGACGAAAGACTAGACGGCGGCGGCGGCGTAACAAATAGAAAAGAAATTAAAAGAATAGCGAGTACGCTACTCCCTCCCCTAACTATACGACGACGAAGAAGGAGAGTAGGTATCTATTAAGTAGTACGAGCCCGTACTATAGAGAGAGATACTAGGAAGCGGAGATACCCGGTCGATATACAGAAAGTTAAAAAGGCAGGGCGGGGAACTAGTACCTAGTACTAACCCTACTTATTAGAACTAGCAATACTACCGCCTTTATCTAATAGGCCGTTAAGTCGACAGAGTTTAAGAGAGTCCTTATTATAGGTACTCCGATAGACAATACTATCTAACCTCTCTAACTTATAGTACGTAGTACCCGGACGATAGGTATATATACGAAAGGGATCCTTCTAATAGAAAACTAGCCTTGCCGAAC